AAGTAAAAGCGTTCCTTTCCCTATATAGATATTATTAAAAGAAGCATTGTTTTCTTAAACCATTTTGGAATTATTCTTTGTTGCGCTGCGTGGGAACATACCAGCTCGCACAAACGCTTAGCTCCCGCTAACGTCTTGTTCGTAGGGAATGAAATATCTTAACGCGTCTCTTAATGATCCTCATTTATTTCACCGGAATCTCGCAACGCTTCTAATTATTGCGTTTCCAGTAGGGTTATTAAGTTTTGCTTCGGTTGAAATGAGAAATGAGAGCATTCATTCCCTGCTCAACCTTGATATCTTTCGCGCCAAAAGTCCTATTTAATTTTGCATCAACGTTATGAGGAAATTAAAATAATTGCCACCGCGGTCCTCTGTAGACATTATTTTCTTCTCTCCCTCCCATTTATTGTAATCTATATTTTTTATAATATTCATTCATATACTCGGAAACATGCAAACAAAAAAATCAGGTGTCAAATCCATGTTATTTTCTGTGCTCTTCGATCAATCAATACTTTTATAAGTACGCATTAATTACTAACTAAATTATTGCCAGCTAAATCAATTTGTAAACCTATTAAGAAAAAGTATAGATATAAAAAATTAAACATAATTTGTAAGCTCACTTAGAACATTACGTTGTTTGTATTTAGTATTGGGGCCTTTAAAGCAATTTGGCCGTAGGCTTAAGCTCATACATATATTGTTTAAAGCCCTTGGCATTAACGAATTTCCAACTTTCCACAGATAACTTCAGGCGGCGTCTTAAACTTCGCTAAGAAGATTTACATACTTAAATGTTTGGATAAAGTTTATCAAATAATAATATAACTACAAAAATAATGTTTACAAAGACCAGTGCTATATAACATCATGTGTATTACAAAATATGTTTTATATTAAATTTTTCGAATACATTGCTTATAATATTAATGTAAATTAAAAAATATATACATCGTAGAGAAGCTCGTAGCATTTCCCGCGCAACGACACGTAGACACTAGAATGCACTTTAATCAATTTTTAATCTATATACGTAGATAGTTATTAACTAGATATACGATGACAAATGAAATTAAGTTTGACAATTGACACTGGAGAGAGTATTATACATAATTATGTTAAACGAAAAATATTACGACTTCCCTCGAATAATACTCTTATAATAATATTATTACTTATGCACTTTACCCAAATATGCAATATACCATAGTCTGAAAGTTATTTATATTACTAGCTAAAATATATATTTTTTTAATACTCCAGCCACATAACGTTTAAACAAGACACGCTGTCGGCATCTTTTAGCTTTGGATATTTGAAAATCCACAGACTGAAACTGAAACAGGATTTCACGACTTTTTGATCTCTGAAAATACATTGCTACTTGTCAAATTATTTAAAATAAATTAATTAAAGTGTTTTAAAGCTTGATTTATAAATTATAACAATCTCTTCATGTTATCTATGTGAAGTTTAATTCCTGTTGATGTGTTACATAGCGCTTTAAGTGGCCTTAGCTCGAAATACTTGAAGATCGCCTCGAGGCACGAATGCCTGGCAAGACAAACCGAAATCTTATCAAGCGTCCGCCATGTTGGTTTCGTTAATAAGCAAAACTGCACACAAGGGCCGCCATAACTTACCTGACGGCTGTTTGTGGAATATATTGCTCCGCGCCATGGGCAAACACTTGTACTACAAACTCCGATAACTTATGTACGGTTTCTGTATAACTTTATTGGGTTTGGCTAACTGTGTTTCTAATAATTAATCGGACGGTTTGTTTTACAACATTATGTATGTTATATTCTGTCTCTTATTTCTAATTTAATAACAAAAGAAACAACACAAAAGATTTCAAGGCAAAAAGGAATTCCTACAAGAAGTCCCACAAAGTTTAACAAAGGACCGTGTAAATGTGCCATTTTTCTTGTTACGACTTGAAAAATTTTAACCCTTCAGAAAGTATATTAATTTTTCAGCGTAATGTCTACAAGGGTCGCGAATGGAATTGCATCAATTTAATTTTGAAAGCGCTCTTCACGAGTGACTTCGATTCAAACGAGTGCGGGGTGATGAATCTCATGGGAGCGGTTTATTTCATAGCAATTAGTTAGCTACAGGCGGTGGATTCGTCACGAATGAACAAATACCCCTTTCAAGATTGCTTTAACTTATACGACTTTTTGCGCGAGTCGTAGGTACACATTTTATAAAAACACTTGTCACTGTTTTAAACGTGAAATTTAAAGCCTCTTTTTTTAAAGGAAATTTTATTATTACGATTTAAATACGATCCGATGTTTTTAAGAGGCTTTGCAGCAGCGGTGGTCAAGGCTATATAATAAGTTAAAAGGATTTGAAATTGTTAAAAATGTTGTATTTCAATTTTATAGATATTTGCAAAAATCACGAGTATGTGTACAGTTCCGTTTATTGATGTTTAATGTCTCATTTATCATATTTAAAGCTTATCTTTTTTTTAACACGCCTTAGAAACTTAAAGATAGAGTTTATACCGATTTTGACATTTCTTTCGTGAATATCTGGTGGAGGTACGAGTGTAAGTTATATGAGATCGCTAGAGGCAGAGTAGCTGCAATTTTATAACGTGACTTAAAAAAGTTAAACTACAAGAGCACAGAGATCGAAATTTGTTCACACAATTCTTTCACAAATAATGGGACTAATTCATTTTCGCCTAAGTAAATTGCGCGTTTGTATTTTCCTCCTTAATGTAAATCATGTTTTTTGCTATTAGGCCACTCTGCCTCTAGCAGCCTCATATTATATCTGTTAAAAATAATAAAAAATAGAATCTCAGTATTAAAAAAAGATTGAATAGAAATATCGTATCGGATAGTATAAAACACCGAACGAAAGAAGACCAACTTGTTCATCTAAACTGAGTTGTCGGGAAATCTGTAACAAAACGGCCATTGAGGCAAGTTCAGACAATAAACAAAGTCGGAGATAAGCGAGTTGCGACTTCATTGTTCTGTCGGGATTCCGCGACTCATGAGATACCAGCCCTGTGAGGGTAATGACGACGTTATTTCTACGATTACTTTCCTAGAAATGGCTGTGTAAGTCAAATATTAAGCTCATATGTTGAAGGGAATTTTATTAATTACGGAGTATATTTCATTACTTATTATTAAATAATAGTTTCGAAATGAGGTGAACAACTTAAGAATTAATAAAAAATCAGAATTAATAAAGCAGAGAATTTAAGATGGTGCTATTGCTTTGTGCTATAACTATAAGAGTTAAGTAATGACTTGAAAAATGTACATTGAAATATAAAAAAAACTTACTGTACTTTGTCGTCTCTTGTATCATTTAATCTATTAATACAAATAACCTTTACAAAGTATGTAGGCTAAAGCCTCAAAAATATATATTTGTCCATATATTGCTTTTCAATTTGTGTATATATTATATGTTCTAATAATTATTATTGTCTTATCCGAATTCCCCTCAATCCCAACCATCGAAAGTTCGTTAAAGTAATGTCACTCTATCGTCCTTCCCCTTTTCAGCTGAAAGGACATTATAGATCCCATCTACTTGCAAGACAAGGATGGAGATAGCCGGATAATATCCCTATAATCACAGTTTTGTTTTCCAATCGCTACTAACGATTATTGGCATGTTATTCGGGTGTCGTTTTGAAATTGCTTTAGTGTAAGACAAGTCGTTAGCAAGTCTAATAAAACGAGATATCACGGTAGGCAGATAAAACACCGAAGTGGATTACACTCCTACATTCCCTCGAAGTTTTACTATGTAAGTATAAAAATTTGTATTCGTATTGTGTATACATAATAATCAAAGACAAACAGAATTCGAGTTTTCAAAGAAGCTATTTTAACATGCCTTTGTTGGCTAGGCTGTTCCGAAATGTATATTCAGTTTTTTGAATGAATTTCAATTTAAAATTTGGTCCTCGTCTCCCAAAACTGGATTGCGAATTCAAAGGATTGGACGTTTTGCTGCGATTTCAAGTGGATACCGACTACTCATTTATCACAAAGTAACATAAGGGTTTCAACGTATTACAATTGCAAATTGGCTGGCAATATGCGTAGACTTTCAGACGTCACCTATTTATATTTTGCCTGAGGTAGTTACTATCGGACGATAACGAAGTTCGAAAAGAATAAAATGTGATTGACATTGTGATGTCGCATATCATTTTGTTGTTATCGTTAAAGACCCAGAATAATTGCAATTCTTTTTAAAAATAAAGATTAGTTTCTTTAATTATCTCAAGACATAAATCTATCTGTATTAATTGAACAAGCATATAGCAATTTCACCAAGAGATCGCATAATTTATTAAATAAGTATAACATTTCACCACTGATTGGTTAAAAATTGGAAGGATATTATAAAGGACTTTAACTGGAGCTTAACGTTTAAATTAGTTTATTCCCCTAAAGCGGAACCACAGCGAAGGGTTGCAAAATTTAAATTACAAATAAAAGCACTGAAAAATATCTACGAGTGGGTAGTGCCTCAATAACGACTTCCCTTAATTAAAGCCGAAACAGTAATAAAGGGAATTAATCTGTGAACTTGAATGGTGTTATCGTCAAAGACAAAGTGGAAATTGCATAACAAGCCATCAAAGATTTTAATATTTATTAGAGAAGACGCGTTCACACTTTACAAGTTTAAAAAATAATAATAATACAGCATTCGAATAGTTATAATTTTTACACGATAAGGAACGTGAGTTTATAGAGATTTGACGAAATCGATAACTTTACAATCTGTCTAAAATAACTACGAATTAATGAAACAACGGGTGGTTCTCTTTAATTTATAATTTTTTATATCGTGTTATTTTAAGGCGTTGACTATATGTTTAATTCATTAATAAATCGGTATGTTTCGCCTAAATTCTAAGCGTCGTAAGTGTAAACGTAAGATTAAATGATTATTTTTATTTTATAATTATTCCTAATACAAGTAACTTAAATAATCCTTTATGTTCGCCTATAATTGTACACAAGCCGATTAATCGAACTAGCTTCAGCATCTCTAACAGGTAGATTATAATATGTATCATCATAACTTGAGTATTGTCGAGTGCTCGGCTTAATATCTAATTGTATGTAATCTCCCTCTTCTCTTCTCAACTGGCCGCCATCTTTGCCACTATACCTTGGGTCTTCATAGATTGTGATTGTTTGCTTCCGCCGCGCTACGATAGGGGCGTTTGCAGGAACTTCAGCTGAAGGCTCTTGGGGGATGTTCACAGGGATTTCGGCTACAGGTTTGTTTTGGGACTCACCGTATCTATAACCATAGCCGGTATTAGGTCCGTATGAATCGTGTCGTATACCATGGTCGTAATATCCAGGTCCGCTGTAGTCTGTGCCCCATGAACGTCTGTCCCAGTCTGGACGTTCTTCCCAACCAGGTTGGGCCCTTCGATCGTTCCATTGTTGCCAATCCCAGCTCGGATCGTGATGAGGAACGTGCGGTTTATACTCATGGCGATTATATACGTTGCCTCTATCGTATGTATTGTGGCCATTTCTGTATTTGTTATAATTCTCCAAATCGTTCAGGTAATGATTCTTACCGTGATCCTGATAGGCCCTCCTCTTGTTGCCGACGTCTCCGTATCGATTATGTCCCCCACCACGGTAATGGTCTCGAAGGTATTCGTGGCCATTGTTATGCGAGCCTTTATAATTCCGTCCGTCACGATTATCGTAACTGTTCAGCTTACTTTTATAAGCAGCTTGATCACCTTCATCGTTAAAATCATCGAAATAAGTGCTTTTGTTTGAAGACTCGTCCTTGTGATAAGAATTTTGAAATCCCTGCTTATGGTGTCCCTTTTTGTGTCCACGTTTATACCCATCTGTGTGACTGTCCTCTTGTTTGTCCTGTTTGACGTTTGATCCGCCATATTCATCGTTTTCTGAGGCCGCTTTTGTCTCATGATCCTTTTTCACATACTTGAGATCGTCAGTTGTTTTTGAATGTTCATTGGAATGATTATCGTTGATAATACTTTCGATGTGGTGGTCCTTATCGCCTTTTTGTTTTTCCAATTTAATAACCTCTGCCGCTTCATTGTGAGCTACATCTTTTAAATGTTCTTCTAAGCCATCGTTTATTACTGACGCTCCAACCCGCGACGTTACCAAAAGAAAACAGGCAAGTAAAATAATACGTTTGCTTAATCGCACCATTTCATCCCCAGAAATGGGTTCAACATTCGACACTACTAAATGTAAAGGCTGATCTCTAGTAAATGGACCTGAGCATTATCACCACTTTATTTATATCTGTAATAACTATAGACTTCGCGGTACATTAAGAAACAATAACGGGAAGCCCCGAGCGGGAACAATGAGTACCCAAAAAGAACAGAGTAGCCGTTTCGTCCATGACACGCCGATACTAGTTCCAGAGTACCACGCGGTTTAAAGGCCATTCACTGATTCATTATCATTACCATCCGTTACTTGAGTCACGCGATATCCTTCATTAATACGTTAATACATGTGAGGTAATATTAAATACTTATAACGAATTATTTATAGTAAAGATTAGTATTTACAACTATTGTATTACTGTCGAAAAGTATATTACATACTAGCTGACCTGGCTAGCTTTTTTTGCCATATAAAGTATTTCGACGAAATTTGATTACAATAAAAAAACGATTATTGCGCTGTACTCTTAAAATATAAACATTACTATAGTAGATATTTTTAGATTATTAAGGAATGAAAGATTATTCATCTTTCAGTCTTTTTGACAGACTTCCTCAAAGGTAAATCATTTTCCCCGTTTTTTTTTTTCACATTTCCCCCCGTTTCTTCACGTCTTCTTGGTCGCGTTCAAACAAACTCTTCAGCTTTATAACATTAGTATAGATATGTATATCCAGGAGTGACTTGACTTATACTTGGCGTGAACAAATACTCCTAACATCAACTTATACATATAAATAAAACAAAACACGTTTTTAATTTGTAATTTATTTAAAAATCAGATATACAAATACTCCGGTAACGAGAGAAGCATATACTTTTAACACTCATTTCATAATTTACGTTCAAACGCGCAAAACATACAAATTAAGTATTAATTACTGTTATGTTTCGAAACATTATTGCTCAACAAGAAAACTTAAACATAAGAATCAAAAAAAAAACCTAGTGTATGCAGTAACAAGTCAATCTGGTATAGTTGACAAACTTTAATTTGTAACAACCTTTTATAATCCCACTTCTGAGAACGAGTCTCCTTTCTCATTGGAAAGACGATTTTGAGAACTAAGACCCGCTCACCCATCATTTCGGGTTGGCGTTGTTTTAAGACTAAAGCCAAATTAGTGACAATAAGCGGGACCAACGATCTAAGGAACTTTTCAAGTATTCTATCTATTCTTAGACCTCTTAAATATGAAACTAAGTGTTGGGGCCGACCCATATTCGAAACCTGGACCTCGAGTTGTGCACTCAAGTTATAATAATACAAGAAAAAATAAATTGCATTACTTAAAAAATATAGTATTAATAAATATTTAACTTCTCTGTAATAAAACAAAACACTTCGTTTAAAATGAATAATTTGTACACACAATGTTACTACCGCCAAAGGAACCAACTATACAGCCGTTATTCAAACAAAGTGAAGAAATTATCCATTTAAAGAAAAAGAATATCGCTCTAACAATATGAAAAAAAGATTCTGTCTAGTATTGTATTAATTTGTAATTAAATAAAATAAGATTTCACATTTCCTAGCCCTCCAGTTTGAGATATGTCCCCTTTTCAAAATAAATGCGATATAACTGCAATATTGTCTAACAATTACCATTGCACAATCTATCTCTGTTTTCTCTGACTCAAACCAAAGCATATTACATACAAATATTTTGGAAAATAAAAAAATAATTTTAATTTTAATACTGAAAACAAACGGTAAATGTATTTTTTGGCCCAAGACTCAAAGAAGATTGAGCCTTTATATAAAAACGAGTAAGTACGACATGTACTTATTTATTAATAGAAGAATCTTCACTTTATTTAACTGACCGATTGTTTATGCAACGGGTCCATTCATTTCTTTGAGGCCTAATTTTTCGATTCTTGTCTGCAGTTCTTCCACAAGGTTTTCCCTTGACACTTCTTCCTCTGCTCTGGTAGTAATGTTTCGTATCTTGACAACTCCTCGTTTAAGTTCAGACTCCCCAAGGACAACAGCGAAGGGGATACCGTTCTCCTCGCAGTGTTGCAGCTGGTTCAGCATTTTGGGATTTTTCTTGTAGGATTGCTCTGTCTGAAAATATTACTTAAAACTTCAAAATCATATCTAAATAGATAAAAAATATGTAACTTATACTATGACAAATGTAAAAAGCTTTGTCTCAGTATAGAATTATAGCGTTAACTACAAGAGGTCTTGTCTTTGAATCTGGGGAAAAATGCAGGATGGAGCAAGTTCCACAAGTTTTGTTTTTTTTTTTTAAATCTGTGAAACTAACAGAGTGTGTTTGATTTATGAGTGATGAAAAGTGTTTTATGACTATTATTGTTGAATTTTTACAAACAAATCTCACATTCATACTACACTATACATTTTTTTTTCTCACATAAAGAAATACATAAACATGGCTTTATTTTAAATTTTGTAATTTTTATCAAAACAAAAACCATTTTATAACATTTTTTAACTATTATTGTCTGTAGTTGACGCGAGTATTACACATTTAATTAAAATATGTACTTTAAACGGTTAAACCGAAACGTATTCGTAAACTTAATTACAACTCATTTTAACTACGACCCGACGTTTCGGATGTTTTGCAGCAGATGTGTTATTAGATTTAATATTATGTTTGAATACCTTAATCCCAGCGTTCCACAACTCTGCGCAAATCTTCATCCTTTCATCTAAGAAGTTCTTCTGCGCAGATGCGACGTAAACGTCAATATCGGTCGTTCGCACGCTGATGTCACCTGCAGCTAACTTCGCTTCGAGGACCGAAAATATACGCTCTACTCCTATACTGACACCTACACATGGTACCTGTAAAAAACATTTATTTATAAAACATGTGTAAAAGGTAAAACAAATGTGATTAAAAAATGTCTACTTGTAAAAGTGATAATACATAAATATGATATCACATTATTTTCATTTTAAATTATGTTTATTATAAATATATTAATATTTTATAATAAACCTTTAGAAATTACATCTTATTAGATTAATAGAAAGATACTATTTAAATAACTTTTTTGTTTATTACTTTAAATTATACAGGTTTTAATTGATGTTAAACTTTATTTTTAAAATGTTGTTCACCTGTTTGTTTTTAGAATCGAACATTCCGACGAGGTTGTCATACCGCCCTCCACCTGCTATTGAGCCAATGGTTTGCTCCTCATTACCAATTTTTATGGGTTCTGAAATTGAATAATATATTTTCGTAGTTATGAACAATAATCTTGCTTCAAAATCATTTATCTATAAGGAACATTTTTGAAAACTGATGAACTACTTGCTTTGATATAAAAAATGAGTCCACCTCATGTAGAGAAAGCAAAATTTTACACATTAAATACAATATACATACGTGTCAAAACTGCCTCATAAATAACACCAGTGTAGTAATCTAAACCTCTGGCCAGACTCAAATCAAATAGAATCTTGTCCTTGATGCCCATGAGTTCGCAATAGTGCAGCAATAACTTGATACCGCCAAGCCCTTCCACTGCACTCTTTGATTTAGAGAGCCTTGCGTCTTCGAGCAGTTTATCAGCCAACTCCGTGCTGCCATTCAAACGAACGTATTCCCCAATTTTATCAGCAGCTTCGGGTGTGACGCCTTTTTCGTTGATCATTTCAGTTCTCACTTCTTCCCATGGTAACTGAAAGTATTATTATTTCTGTCACAAATCTTTATATCTAGCTGATTCAATACAAATAAAAATCAATGGTGCAATTTGATCACACGACAGCAGGTAACAGGTAGCCCATTTAATTTGTCTTTGAAACTAACCCTTTTTTAACTTAATGAAAATAAGTTATCACATGTTCCGGTTTTTATATATGCAATGTCAAATAAACTTTATTTTGTTGTTTTTATAGAATGCGTCTTTTTTGCCCATTCAATACTTGCGACCTAAATCTTTAAGATATATTGTAAATTAACATACTTCTTAAATTTAAATTTAGAAATCCATTCAATATTAATGAGCTTCTAAATTTTAATTTAATTTTTGAGATAACGCGAAATAACACTAGTCGATAAAACAACTGTTTGCGAAAGATTAAGTCGAACGCGCAAAGTAGTCTAACAGGCATGCTGCCGGCAATCCACGCCTCAAACCGGTTCGCGGTCTATTGCACGTGATCCTTTCACAGCAACCAGATCGCTTACTCTCGCTGACATTGCAACAACGTTCAGGTGTTACATAATAAGTTTTACCTTATCGAGTTTATCTATAGTGGAACAGGTAGACCGGAACTGGTCAGCGGGAACGCCGCACGCTTCGAACATTCCATCGAGCAACCGCCTGTGGTTCACCTTTAATATGTATTTGCCAATGTCAAGGACGTCCAGGATTTCCGTAACCACTTTGAGGCATTCCGCGTCCGGAATCATCGGATCGTATTGACCGGCGATGTCGAAATCCTTAAAATTATTGAAAGATTATATGCATAGATATAGATATAGCAAATATGTTATATTTTATGTCTATATAAATGATTTTAGTAAAATAAAGTTAATTTGATTCCAAAGGAAAACACATTGACCCTGAGTCTGTTACACAGATTGATTTTTAAGATGTATTTCTTTTAATTAAGGTCATCAATCAGTCAAGCATGCATTTCATTATTTTTATTTTAAAAGATGTCAGCAATTTTACTTTTATTATTTAAAATGGGGTCACCGCAATCTATGATTTCAATGAACAAAAACTACACCACAAATTCGAAAGTTAATCTAACCAGCGTCCGTCAAGTGAAGTGACTGAGTGAAATGACTTGTACAAGGCCAACACTAGTAAAACACTAATGCGGTGGCCTTAAATGTCAACATTGTGCTTTATTCCCTGACTACAAGAGCTAAATTGGCAATGAGTATTACAATTACGAAGTGCAACAAAGACATTGCATCAGATCTTAAAATGGAAAGTAAGCATTCTAAACTAAGTGTTGATAAAGCAAATCATCATATTAGCTTTTAACTTATAAAATACCAAGGATAAAGAAATACGAAACAAACATTCTTTTGTTAATAATGAAGGAACTTGACAAATATTTATACATACACATTGGTAAAACTCTCTGTATCGGCCTCTTGTCATAGCTGGATTATCTCTTCTATACACTTTGGCAATGTGATACCTTTTCAATGTATTTATTTTGTTCATAGCCAAATAACGAGCAAGTGGCACAGTAAGATCGTATCTCAGAGAGAGTATCTCTCCTCCTTGATCTTTTAAGTCATATATTAATTTAGAGTCTTCACCATACTTTCCTGTTAAAACTTCCTGTAATACGCATTAGTTATATCAATTTTTATTCAGCTGCGTTAGCTTAAAATATGAATAGAATAAACTACCTTTAGTTCAAAGACAGGTGTATCAATACACTCTGCTCCATGCTTCTTGAATATTGTAGTAATTCTCTGCAGGACATTATTGCGTATTGTTGTCTGTTGTGAATTGTAATCTCTTGTACCTTTCGGTGTTTTAAGAGTAAACTTTTGAGGTGCGGCATCTTCAGTGTTCAACTGTGCTTTTAAAGCTAATAGCTTTGAGACTTCTTCTTGAATCTAAAATTATAAACATAGTAAAATAAGACAAGGTTTTTTCCCATGTCAAATCTACCAAAGCAGCTAAAACAATACCATAGCTACTATTAAACAAAACAGTCTCCAAACAATACCTTGCAGTAAGAAGTTGTTGAAATATGTTTTGTGATACCCTTTCTAGATATTGTCTTAAGCAACAAATGCGCTGTAGGTGTACCATTGAAACATTGTAACACTTGATGTAACATGCTTAGCTACTTTAATCAACACTCCAATATGATTCCTCGTCACCACTGATGCATTCATTAAGTACCGGAAAAAAATAATATCATTACAACACAAGTATGTTATAAAGACAGTGGCAACGAATAAACCATATGAGGAGGAACCTACAAATATTTACAACTATCTACTCAGCAATAAAAATTAGGTGCATAATGGTAGATTCAAAGGGAGTTTTGACAAACCTTTTTATCATAATTTATGGAACTACACTGTACCATAGAAACTATATCATTTGATAAGTCACTGTGAGGAAATAATGCTTTTTCAGAGTCACTGAAACTCCGCATATGGTACCACCATCTTTTAAGATACACATATTTATCTAACTCTATGTTTATACTCAAACTTTTTAATGTGTGTATGTCACTCCTAGTCGGTACATAACCACCAATATAACTGAATTGGGATAGATAATTGTTAATCTCAGTGAGATTTTGGCAGTAATGTGTCTTATTAGGCGTTATAACCTACAACATTAAACGACGTTTAGACCAGCTGACGCAATGGTACGAAAGATATCTATAAGATACATAAAAATTTCACACACATATATAGACACCTTACGGAATTGCCTTATTTAGTTACATACCTTCTCATTAGCTTCTTTTGCAGCTTTTAATTTTCTTACTAAATCACCTTGTTCTTTAATCTCTTGTAATAATGAGCTTTGTAACTCTGCCATTGCTTTTATAAAAGAAATGTAAAAAAACACTGTACATAAATGCCTTAGTTTAATATTATTACTGACTGTAATGAAATTTTATTATTTAAATATATTATTAACTTATATTTCTTTATCAGGGCACAGTACCACACGTCTACTATTCTTGTTAATTATAGACAAAAACCACATCCACAATGGGATTAAAAGAAATCGGAATAAATCTCAAATCCATTCTGTCACTGTCATGTATCAACTTTTGACAGCAGAGATATTTTGCACTGTGGTCTTGATGTAAACCATATTCTAGCGCTATCGATGTTTACTATTTTCCATTCCATGATACCACAATAAGGTAACTTCTTTGGAAAATGAAATTGATATAATTAATGATTGACGTTCATTTTCTTAAAATATATATAAAAAACCTGAGGCTTGATGAAGGTCCATAACTCTTCATGGTTTCCTGTGTGTTCTATGAATAATGTAAGTTTTGGGTCAAATTTTGCAAAATGTTGATTACTTTATTATAAGCTTAATAATATCATATAAAAAACTTGATTTTGTACACTGTAAATTACAATAAAATCTTCCTCTGGCCAATAATACTCCTGTTTTTAATTTATGGAAAATCAGTGCTTTTATCCTTGTTTTTTTAGCAATATATTACTAATCCTACATAATGGATAGATTTGAGTATATGGAGGCTCGGCTGTGTGAAGGAGAAAACTACATCAAACGCGACAAAAATGTTAAACTTTACGATGGAGATGATAAGGTAATTGTTAAATTATTAAAAGCAATAGTTATTGGATCAAATTTGTTATATGACATTACTGATTTGAATATTTTGTCTGAAAGATATTTTATAAAATCATAGACATATGTATTTTGCAGACACAATATGTAGATGGAGAGGTGGTTCTTACATCTCATAGATTATTGTGGGGTAAACCAGGAGACATCCCAAAGGGGCTTATTTGTCTATCATTGTACCTATACTATGTTTTTTGTCTTGAAGAAGAAAATGGTGGAGTTTTTGGCTTAGGAGGACCAAAACGAATCATATTACATTTGGGACCTGCTTTACCAGGTATGTTAGCATTCTTCATATTGAACTATTTTTTTTGGTTACTTGTGTGTATGTATTGATGTACAAATTATTATTTGATTCTATCTCTATTTCAGGAAAACGGCCAGGTCCAGCCGTTATTAGTACTTACCATTTTATTAAACTCTCCTTCAAAGATGGGATAGATGCTGCATTTTACAAGGCTTTAAGTGATGCAGTGGCTAATAAACTATGGGAACGACAACCACTGGAGACCAATGCTTTTAGTAGCCCCACAATGAGTCCACGCACCTCTGTATCTCCTATTGGTGCCAAAATTCGTTCTGGAATTGTTGGTATCGAAAGGAGCATTGAGGAACAACAAAAAGCAACCGATGAGAGTATCAGTGTAGCTTTTAAAGATTTAAAGAAACTCATGGAAAAGGCAAAAGACATGGTCTCTATTTCTAAAACAATATCAACAAAAATAAGGGTACACACTTACCTTATCAATTAACTATTGTTATTTAATTGTAAAAAAATTTATAAGTTTTTTAAATTTATGGTACTAATAGGAAAAGCAAGGTGACATATCTGAAGATGACACAGTGCGTTTTAAGTCCTACCTAATGAGTCTTGGAATTGATGATCCAGTTACTAGAGATGCATTCAGATCAGATTCAGATTACTATGTGGGTCTTGCTCAACAAATTTCAGATATGATGGTGGCAGTTTTAATGGTAAATCTTTTCTACAGTTATATAAATTTTTATAATTGAGAAATGAAATATTCTAGCTGTGCTACTTAGTTTGGCCGCATAGAATAGTTATTTTGAGCTTTGAAATTTGTTTTTGTAAACCTCCTCTTTATCTTTATACGACGTCGGTCGTGTCCCGTCGTTCTTGCAAGTTAATCTCAAAAGATACGACGACGTATAATGTCACAGACATTTTGTTTTGTCCATTTAAAGAGGAAATTTAGAAATTTAATTTTCCCCGTTTTCTCCACATCTCCCGCTGTTTCTTTCCTTCATTTAAATTCGCACCAGTAGATTCTGAGATTAGCATATCCAAACAAATATTTTATTATATATTTAAGTAAAGAAAAATAGTTTTAATTTACTTGAATTCTAGTGTTAGCAGCAATATGTATATTTTTAGGACACAGGAGGTATAATGTCTCTAGCAGATGTCTGGTGTAGAGTTAACAGGGCACGAGGTTTAGAACTGATATCACCGGAGGATTTATTAAATGCTTGCAAGTAAGATATTTTTTTATAAGAAAATTTTTCGGCAATGATCATTTTTAAACTACTCATCTTACAGGTCATTTTTGCTTTCCTATAAGTTTAGAACAAGTAACTTTTTCAGATTACTTCCCACCATTGATGCTCCAATGTGTCTTCGAAAGTTTCCTAGTGGTGCCTGTGTGCTTCAACTAAACAGCCATCGTGATGAGGAAGTCGCCAAAACTACTAGTCAATTGGTATTTAAATATATTATAAAAAAATGCAAAAACTAATTAAAATACTTTTGAGAACGAGTAGGTATGAACGGGTTCCAACGCCTTATGCAAGTTTGTTAGATTAGTAGATTAATTTATGTACTAAGTGCAAAAACCATACTTTGTGTACCTATACAAAAAATTTCCCACCACCAACATTAAACACAAAATTGTTTTACAGATTGAAGAAAATGGTTCATTGACACCAATAAAGCTGTCACAAATCGAAAACGTATCCGTCCTTCTTGCTCGTGAACGCCTCTTTACTACAGAAAGACTTGGCCTGGCTTGCAGAGATGAATCTATTGAGGGATTAGCTTTCTATCCAAATCTATTTTTAAGCAAAGTGTAAATATTTATTTTATTTAAATATATTTTCTTCTATCCATAAATGTTTGTTGTTAGTGAAACAATTTTATTAAGCAGAAATATTTATTAAAGCATCTTCACAAAAGCTTAATGCATAGTACATTATACAATCTCATAAAAATAATTGTTTCATACCTATACAAATAAGCTTTATAAGCAATTAGGTATTGGAAATCCTGATTCCCTTTGAACGGGACAGTATCTGTGTATTTTTCACTGATAAGACTTCTGTGCGACACCTTGGATTTAGTTTGCCTGGAATTCGAACCCTAGACCCCTCGCGCTTAACGTTTTAACCATTAAGCCATGGAGGCGATCTTAGATATTTCATTATGACTTAAAAGATAGAATCAATAAATATACCTTAGACTAATCTACTTCCATCTTCAATAAAATGTTTGAGATATGTAGTTGTGAAACACAAAAAAGCAATATTGTTTCAAGACAGATTTGGGATCAAAATGAATAATTTCCAGAGCTTTACTTGTTAAATAAATGCATCAAAACTTCATCAAAGGCAGTTTTTTTTTCATATTACTGTGAAGGTTATAACACTTTATCAGAGTAGCAAAGCCTCCTAAAATTAATGATATTTATCCGACATCATGTAATAACATTCCCGCTATATCCACTATACCAATAAAATATCAAAATAGATATTTCACCTTGATCACCAATCGTTATTCTTATTGTTACATAAGTATATGAGCACAAGCCTTAGGACTAATTTGCCAAACATGTTACAGATGTAATAAGCTATTTGCAATAAGCACACATTTAATTGGTGGGTTAAAAGTGACATAAAACCATTTTCAAGAAGTTACACACCGCTTGTAAGTAATTGATAAAACATGGCCAGGTGGCCGTTTATCTAGTTGGTAGTTATAGCATTTTTTATGTACATATAAATGTCAAGGGTATTCTTACTTATGCTGACATGGGGTCAAAAACGGGGGTTAGTCATAACAAATTTTCTTGCATAATGCTTGAACGGCCACCTAATACTGATTGCTACTTTATGTATTTTTTGTAATATTATAAGTAAATAATCTTTGGGCATAAAAGAAAATAAATAAAACCTAATTCTACTTTATTTCACAGGTTGGAATGTTAATATTCAATTGCATTTTTAAAATCCTTTGGTACTTGATTGTATTTACCACACAACTCCCACGCCTTGAAATCATCACAGGACCTCACATTCTCAATGAAGAACTCAACGCCCCTGACAAATGGCAACATCATTTTGTCATGTAAAACTTCTGATAGACGGTGCAAGAAAGCTATGTTCTTAGCTAGACTTTCTTTGATATTTACGGGTAGTGGCCTTACTGTACATTGCACTATGTCCAGCTGAAATGGAAAACTTAGAAAATACAACAGGTGCTACAGCTCATAATCATGAAATTCTAGGCCTTTCAGGACTTTATTTATTACCAATATTTAATATGTGGTAAGTAATGAACACAACAAACCCAAAAACCACTTTGCAAGGAGGAAATGGGTGAATTGGTCAGCCGCGGGTGTATACTAATCACCTGGCATTCTATAGATTTCCCTAATAGAAAGTAATAATAATATCATACCTTTTCATCAATGATATCTTCTTTCAAACCGAGGAAGGTATGTATACACTGTGCTAATGATTTAATACTCTCTGGTAACCGGCCAGTTTTATTTTTAGTGATAATAAGGTCAGCCACCTGGAAAAAACATAATGGTAGTACATAACTATATTATAGGTTTTCCCGTGTCATCTACATGGGATAAACTTATTTCTGTCTGTGTCCATTGGTCGTATGAATGTACTTCTTCAGATCTCTAAAGCTTAAACTATTGTTTCTCCAGAAACAAACTCAGTTATCAAATGGCTAATTCAACACTACTTAACTTTTTAGCCGGGACAGCTGCCCTACTGTTACAAAAACTAATGTTTCGCTAAAATCTGTACAACTTATATTAAAAAAAAAAACCCTTACCTGTGTGTCAAAAACAGACTTCAGCTTAATATTATGCTTGTGATATAAACAATCTGACAACTTTCTACAACCATGGACAATCTTTTTTATATCGTTATCTTCTAGAATTTCCTTAAGACCAGCATCAAAAGCGTGATATTGCATTACTTGAATGTCAAAAATAAAAATTTGGTGAGGTGTTGAAAGCACCAGAAAGGGCATTTTACATTTTCGACCCATATGAGCACCATCCGAACTCAAAGCCAAAAAACCAAATTGTTTTAATGTTTCTATTGCCTCATGAAAACTGCTGTCAACTTGATTGATATACTTATATTTCTTAGAAACCAATAAAATATCTTCACATTCTTTCTGAGAGATCTTTAGAAATGTTGGCTCTGTTGATTCTTTTACTTTTATAATATCTCTCACCTCGGAATCATAATAATGAAATACTCCATCACTTTTCTCGTCTCCAGCGCTTTCTTTAACATTATATAAGGAAATTTTAGACATATCACTAGTCATGCTAAAGAATCTACCTTCAATTATTTCAGAGTTTTTAGTTTGGAGTTGCAATAACTCTCCTTTCATATATCGATTATCCATGTTAACAGTTGTTGTAGAAGTTATTGATTAATATTATTACAAGTAAGAAGAGGGTTTAATCTCTCTTTACTGGTTTCTCAGGTTTTTCGGCTTCGCTGTATGCTCTGTATATGTAGAGCCCTAAAGTAACGTGCAAAACGATTACAGCAACAACAGCAGAATAAACGCTACTTGTAATGGGTTCTACGCGCAACAGGGCATCGAAGAGTACGGTTTTGACCACGAAGAAAGACAATACAGGTACAATTATGATGAATAGACAGTATTTTATCACCGTCCGGAACACCTGGAAATCGGGTAATTCCTGCAAAAATGAAATAAGGTTATCGTCTTTACTATTATCAATCAATTTAAACTAATGAACAATTCTACTTACATTGGCATTTCCTTCAATCATTATAAATTAAAATGAAAATGAAAAATAAAATAACAAACACCCACTTATTACTTTCATCAAATCTTGAACAATTTTTTTTGCACTGTTTCTGCAAAATGCTAGCCAGTGATGCCAACTCCTACGACATTTTTTCCCTAAAATGGGAAATAAATTTGTCCCTCCGTGACACACACCCACAATGGCTGCAAAGCATTCAAAATAACTCGAAACATCGGGCTATAGTTGAAAATAAAGTAACTTATATACTTTACGTTTTAAACCGTAAATAGTGTTTTATTTAATGTTTTTCAACTCTTTCTCCTTTTTTTATTACTCTAAAAGTAATATATGAAAAGAAAATGGTAACGCATATTCTTTACATATACTTTTAGAGTAATTTTATTTTTAAGCTTTTTGGGCAATAATTAAACGAGCTACAAATTAAATAAAAAAACAAATCGCTTTCATGTCTCCTTTATTTTCTTTTGGTTACTTTGTTGTTGAAATATCTTCGCATAAATTTTTTAATTCAAGTTTTAAGTCAAAGACTTGCTACTGACTATCTTAAAATGTATCTCCAAAAATCCTGGTCAGTTTATTTCCCCCCAAAATTAGGGAATTAAACCCCTAAGTTAGCATCACTGGTAAGTGGGTTAAAATCGACCTAAACGTGTTAAAAAAACGGCGTGACATGAAAGTTGAACTTTTAGTACACATCTAACGCCATCTAGGGAGTGCTAATATGTCAAATCTTTTATTACATTAGAATCGGCCAATGTATATGAAAAATTCTCACAATAGTAACATTTATTCTACGGTTTCGCACAAACACAATACTACAATGGAAAGCACAATTATCACGCAATTTTTATTTGAAATGTTAGCAAGACTAATAGCAAGCTTTAAATAAAAAATATTAATCATTTCCGATAAATATAATAAGCGACGCGTGTGGATGTGTTGTTCTTTAAATAATAGTGTGTTGCATAAATATTGTCGCATTAGTTATTAAGTTAGTAAGAAGATAATTATAAATAGTGAATGAACGTTTAGATAACTTAATAAAAGATAGTTAAGATGATATAGAATTGAGTATTCCAAGAATACATGATGTCGGAAGATCCATTTAGAAACGGCAATCCACTCAATAAAAAAATATACTTAGGACATGACAAATATTACGTCAAAAATTATACTTTGCATGAGAGCAACCGCGGTAAACGCTTGTATTAATAACCAGTGAAAGTTCACTATTATTCACCTTTGAAATGGCATATAATAATTTACGCCTTCCGTGTCAATAGTATCGGTTTAGCGCGATTACGAATTGGACCTACCCACATACGGGTTGTTTATGATGTTCAAAATTCAAAATATAGTTTTTATTTTTATTGCTTGGCTTGTAAGTAAAGTAACCTAATTTTATCGGTAACATAATTCAATGATTGGCACAAATAATGCCCCGACTTTAATAAATAGTCTATTAGGTTGTTACAAGTATTTCTCGTAGTATTTTATTTGCCTAGTTTAAAATTTGTTTCTAGCATTCAAATACATTGGATGGTACTTTCGTAGATTTAACCGAGATAAAAAATCAAGTTTTGCAATGGAAACATCAACCATTATTTAATTTAAGCGAGGTTAGAATAAAACTGTTAATTTAAAAAATAATTATACTTATCTTTAGATACACTTATTTTAACTTTAATATTTGTGTTTTATAGGCAGCTGCATTAACAAACGGTCTTTTTGACTTAGGCGATGTTAAAAATAAATTATTGCAATGGAAAACTCAAAAATTAACAGCTCTGTGTCCATCCAACGGGCAAGTGTTTTATATTCATAATTAGATTAAATGAAAAGTGGAGTATGTTGTAATTATATAAAATAATTATAATATATTAAATGCTTTATATCATAGATTTTTATTTTTAGGCAACAGCTTCAAAATTTACTGAATCTAGTATGCAGCACTGCGCAACCTACGAATGTAACCAGTCGAGATGCGTGTATTTCGTGTTTTTCAAGAGTCACCTCAATGCCAGAAGTAACCAATTTCTTTTTAAACTAAACATTTTAGAATGAAAATATTTTCCACAATATGAGGTGCTATTTACCCCACTGAAAGATAACCACACTATGAGAAGCGTTTTACCGCACCGAGAGGTGTAATTTTACAACTTTATCGCAATTACAACGTAAGAAAATATGTATACACAAAATGACACGTATAAGTTGCCAGTAGGAAAAGGGAGGCACAATCTTCAACTTCGCCTTTTTCACTCCTACAAATGATCTCAGAGATCTATCATATTAAATTAATCAATCGATCTCGGTTACCTTTGGTTATTGCGATTGGGTCTAAGCTCAAAAACCCTCATTTCATTGAAATGGAAGACCTGTGTTCTGCTGTGATAAAGACATAATACCAGTCAGAAACTGTTAATTTTTCACTTGGTTTATCCTCTTAGGGTCCCCAGGAGTTAAACTCTCTAAGTGTATGTGCTGTCCAATACTTTGCAAACACGTCGTACGCGAACTGTGCTACGGCTCTTATGGTAATGTATAACAATTTAGTTTAAAAAGTTTATTAACTAACTAAGTAAATTAAAATGGCATATCACTTAATTTAGAAATTAGAGTTTCTAAAAAACATATTTTTTATAAGGCTTTATCAACGTCGGCTCTTAATGTTCAACCTTCTGGCTGCTATATGGGGTATTGCGATTTCGTGCAGTGCCTTAGAAGAACAAATTCCGTTAACCTGGTCAGTAGTAGAAATAACAACACTCAGACAGATCTGTATGAGTTTTATTTCATAACTAACAAATCAAAATCGTGACCACACTATCAAATTAAAAATTTATTATAGATTGAACAAAGTATATCACGGGGAGGACAGGACATTAATTTATGTAGGGCCATCGTTTACAATACACAGTAGGTACATATGAAAAATATTAAAGCTTTCAAAACAACGGAATATTAAGAGGTAGTTGTGAAGAAACTGCTCGATGGTGATATTACCACCTTCAGCTGGCAATATTATTTATTAGATTTTTTCTTATTTATTTACCGTTAATGTTTTTCGTAACGATTTGAATCTTTCCGTTATTTACTTTGTTTAAATTTAACATATCACAATTATATGCATTAATTACGCTAAGATTTATTCTTTGTTTACTAATCGCTGTAATTCTCATTAATTATAGTATATAGTATTATAGAGTATAATATTATGTAATATTTTAAATCTTGTCGTTTTTTACAGATAACGCAATGCACAAGGGAGGCTAGAACAGGTGTAAACATTACACTGGATAATGACAATGTACGATTTTATACCAACGTGACATCTTGTATTTTAGCAAAAACAAGATGTGGTCCGTTTAATCCCATAACAGGAGAACCGCAAACACCAGGATACCTCGCATCTGGTATGCGAGTAAGCAATGCTCTTCAATTTTCACAAAGTGGAGAATTAAGAATACTGGCATTTTCATCGAATACCCCCATTTCGTCGTCTTTCTGCTCAGCAATAAACAATTTGACTCAAACAAGTTGGTTAACAAATATGTGTTAACCCGAAACGTATTGATTATTGTGTCATATTTGAAATAAAGATAATACATTATCATATTACACATCTACCATTTCACATATTATAATACAAAATAGTAAAATACCACCTGACATTCTATGCCTAGCACCTACTGCTTATGCTATGGTTAATAGTGTTAACTGTCATTTTAGAGTGACATTATTAGCCAACTGTCAATTGTCTGCTATCAGCATACGTATGTCATAACTTATCAGAAAACAGATGTATATATTAGGATTAATAATACAAGTTTTTTATAAACTATTTTCCTTTTAAAAGTTGTTTCTCGTGCAATTTTAAAAAGTTTCTAGCCTTTTTAGAGCCCTAAACTAAGTGTTTGATGAACTTACTCCACTCAGTCATCAATGGTAGTATAAATTATATAAAAAACATTAATTCATAATATGCTCTCATTGGCGTCCTTCTTGTTTTTTATCAACATTTGTTGCCATAATTTCATCATCCTTTTTTTATAAAACAGTCATAATACAACACTTTATTATCAAATATTGTAGTGTATATGCAAACAATTTAATTGTTTATTGGGTAATAGGTTATGTCTAAGCAGCAATTAAAAGACTTTGAATTAAGCTTTTAACATTTTATTTTCAGATGATCCTTTTTGTAATTTGCTTTTTGGAATCTTCACTTTCTTTTTAGTTTTCTTATTGACCTGCAGTGAGTCATCTGTGTCAGAGTTGTCGCTTAGTATTTTTGTTTCCTTTACTTTTGATTTCCTTGATTGGATTGCTGTAGCTACATAGGCTCCTTTCCTAAAGGCTTTTTGTTTTGTTTCTGTTAGACTTGGTTTTTGGATTGATTGCTGAGTGTTTCTAGGTACTTCTGTAAAACTGGTGTTGTTCAATTGTGTAATCTCTGATTTTGAATACATTAACCTGAAAAATAATTTTCATACATAGGTTCATAATTTAGAAATAATGGATAATTTTTTTTGTTACAATTATATCATAATACTAACTTTCCCTTCTTTTTATGGTTTTTATTCATTTTAGTTATTGGTTCTAAAGAATCGTCTGTTGCTGCTTTATTAGAGATCCTTTTTGGTTTTGATTTCTTTTTCTTTTTTTTATCTTTACTTTTCCTTTTTTCATCCTCAAGTTCTTCTAACTTTTTTGAACATGACCTTAATAATGTATGGAACAAAAATTACATGTTATAGACATTTCGACTATGTATTATTTTGTACCTTGTTTCATAAACAACATACCTAAGTAAAGCTTCACTATCTGTGAAGTAAGAGTTCATTCCAAAACTTGATATACCCCATGATAAAGGTCCCTTTTCATCATCTTGTAATCCAGTCCAAAAATTTTTCTTCAGGGAGTTTAATTTTACTTGTAATTCAGACTCTTGTGTTTTCCTACATTTATTTTCAAGTAGGCATCTATTCAATCAAATTTTCATATGATAAGCTTACACAAAAATTAGTAATTGTTTCTCTAAAATGATTCAGAGTGATTTAGCTTACCTAGGTGGTGGTAAACGTTTGAATTGATGCCATGAAGCTGGTTTCAATTTAGGTTTTTCATTTGTCTCATTAAACATGGACACACTTCGGGGTCTCCTGCTTTTTGGCTTTTTTTCTCGATCAGAATTGAACGGTGAATCACTTGTCTGAAAGTTAAATTATCATAGTTTAGTTAATAGTAATATTTTAGGGCCCTTAATCTGAGAAGTAATTAAATAATCATATTAGAGAATTAAATTATATACCGGTACGGGAATAATTTTTAATTCGGGGGGCATTTTCTTTTTCCGTCTTGGCTTATTCTTGTTTGATGGACGTAACAGTTTATGAACTTTTCTTTGTGGACTGAGATTTTCACCAAATGATTCACATTCCGACGACACATCAGTCATTGCATCTGATGTTAGATCTATTGTCGCTCTTGACACCTATAGGTAGTAGATAGAAAAAAAGGTTACTGGTACATTAATGGTTTAAGTACATATTTAAATATTACGTACTTGTAATGTTTCTCTTTTAGTCTTTCTTCTTTCAGCTTTGCTTATTTTTTCAAGTTTATTGAGCGGTCTTCTGGATCTCTGAAAATTATAGAGCTTAGGAATTTTCGGTAGGTTTTAAATTTATGTATTTATTTGTGTCTCACTTACATCATTTAGTCTATTAATCTCTGGAAGTATGGGAGAAGGCGGCGGAGCCGATTGTGGGACATTATGTTTTATTCTGGGCGCTTCAGCTTCGGAACTGCTACTAGAAGTGTCTCCTTCGTCGCTATATAAAAGAAAGTACTTATATATTTAGATTCGGTTTAAATTTTTAATACCTTAAGACAGAATATTTATCTGCACCTTGAATAGTCTGAAAGGTCTATATTAGTAGGTTCGTCGGCGTTAGACCCTTCTTGTAAAAGCCTTGTAACGATTTTAGTTCTTAATCTTTCCTTACTGGGATCTTCGTCATAAAAATCAAGCAAAGTTTCACAAAACGTTTTTCCTAAGCTTTCGTAATCCTGAACAGAGAAATGTGTTGACATCCTGCTACCAAGCTCAGACCCACCAAAAGATGCCTCCATTGTATAGCTGTTAGCTATTCCCAACATCCAAACAACTACTCTCGCTGTGCCCTCTTTACTTCGTTGAATTCTAAATTTACAATTCTCGAAGGAAAACTAAAACACATAATTGTAAAAATTAATTGCTATTCGGAAAAACTATTGCGAAATATTGTTGCATACGCACTTTATCTGCAGCATTTTTATGTAGCATAAGCGGAAACACTTGTTCTTGAAGACGTTTATCTGAATTTCGTCTACTTTCACATCCGTAAATGAAAATATTATGTTTACGTGAATGAGCATGAAGATCAACATACATCGCAATACCACACTCCTCCTGTAACCTATAATACCATATATTTAATTAAACTATTATCAGGATGGATAATCTACTTGTTGCGATTAATAATACTTGCCTTCGTATCATAACTTTGGTATGCCAGACTGGTGGATATGTTTCTCGTATGACTGTTCTGTATTGTCTATTCAAATCTTTCCCCGTTAATGAACATCTATTATTCCCAACTATAACCTGAAAGTCAGAATATCTTTGCTCTTAGTGTCTCCCATTACTTTTCCAGTTTCAAATAACTTACGCCATCTGGATTCAGCATAGGCACCAACTTAAATATGAATTTCTCCCTTAATTCTCGTGCTTGATTTGAGTCCCCAGTTACGAAATCCATAAAACCCTTCATCATCCAAGACGCGGGAGTTTCTCCAGGGTGTACTCTTGCTGTTACTATGACAGCTTTTTTCCTCTATAATCAAGATGCAAATAAGTACAATATTACTAAACAAATTTATATATTTCTTTTACCTACCCTTTGTTCCATCTCGTTAGGGTTTTGGGGTGCAGTCACCGTTAGATAATAAACATTATTCCCTGCAAGTGTTCGGCATAAGAGCCTTAGTTTTGCGTATGTCGATTTTACAGGATGAGCTTGCAGCCTTGATAAATATTCTTGTAAATCTGAATACGTGTATGGGTAGCAATGGGCCACGTACACAGCGTCGTCTGAATGTGGAAATTCTATGTTGAATGTTAGAGTGTAACTCGGATATTGTTCTTCTTCTTCGCATCTAAATAAAATTTTACCGTTTTAGAAAAGTTCATGTAACAAATTATTTGTTATAATTTTACGACATGGTTGGAATTTGAGCCAACGACCTATCGTGATCAATTGAGTTGCCGCGTCCCATCCGTAATTATCGAATTTTCTCATTGCATCGATACACGCACCTCTCGCGCAATGTAATTTCATCCTTAACACGTACGAAAAGAGTAGCAACGATTTTTTCAGCGTAACATATAAACGAATGGAAAATTCGATGATAAGTCGCGAGATATGGTAGCTCAACTGAGGGAGCTAAAGCACCGTACGCTATGATCGTGTACAGTCCGAATATTTTTGTTTATTATAAAAAAATGATGATTTCACCATTAAACGTCTGAAACTTACGTCGGATCATTTCTGTAATACGCAATGTTGTCGCCGCATCGTCTCCAGCCAATAGAATGCAGTTGTGCGTCCTTGGTCGAATACAGTAACGGTCGCATGCCCTCGTTGTATAAACTGTCAGGCTTTGATAAATTTACTATGGAGAATCTACAAGGCCATTTCAATTTTACATTGCATTCTTTAGATGAGAATGATAATAAATTTATGAAAACATTACCTGTACATCATTTGCTTTTTAGTGTTTGTTACTCTGAAGTAGAACCATTGCACATGTCTATTTGTATATAGATCGGTACGAAGATGTAGTTCATAATAAGCGGATGTTATTTTTATTGCTTTAGCGAGATTTCCGCTTTCGAATCGTGATTCAAATCGCAGTTCATCTTCACCTCCAGCGCTTGTGCATGCTGATAGAAAAAGTCGCGATCCACCAACGCTTGAACGACTAAACTATATAAATAAGGAACTAAATTATCTTGGTAACTTTGCACACCGGTCTATATATAAAACATAACTACGTGAAATCCTGTTTTCCCTTGTAAAACGTGCGCCAAACAAATTTCTGAGTCCATTTCACTGATAGATTTTATTTAGACGCTAGTAGTTGATTATACTTCAGCGCTCTGCAGTGATTATCAGGAATTCAATGCACGAACTTTTCGTGAATCAGGGGCTTGGGATCAAGTTGAGCTACAATGGCAAACACAGGCGGTTTATTAAAAGAAAATTATAGTAATTTGACTTACATAGTTAACAGCGCTCATGGGATAATATTGAAAGATAACAGTTCCCGCCTCCTCTCCAACGGGTTGCGGTTTCAACTCTTTCCCTGTAGAGATATAATATGGCTCCGGTGATGCTGGACTCCAGTTTATATGTTGTATTCTTTCTTCGATAACCTGATTATGTCAATTGAATCATGATCTTTTGGGAGAAGTTCCCGTAGAAAACCTGTACTGTATATAATAATCACAAGTACCTGACATTCTGAAGGCCACCGTGGTGCTTGTTGCGGACAGTCTAGCTCCTTTGGCAAAGCAAATAAGTCTCTAGGTTCTTTTAATTTGGCAGTCGTTTTAAATGTCTTTATATCTGTATTAATTTCTAGTTGATTCGTTTTTATATTGTTTTGAAGGAAGTTAGAAATGAAAGTTCCTGAAAGCGATGGAATTGGCATGTTTTATGTGAGAAGTACAACCAGGCTTTGATAAGAAGTAGAATTTGCTCCGCTTTTTATAGTAAAGCGTACCTTTGTTACAAATAGGAAACAAAGACGCCTGCAGAGTCTTTACTTGGTCTAAATTAGCTATTAACAGGTTGTCTCTTAAAACTGGGTCCCTGCTGGGTAAGGGAAGTGTAAGAGTTGCATTTTCAGTGAATGTTTGCCCCTGCTCTTCCCTTTCAATCATTATTACAGCTTCTTGGAAGCGTTCCAGTTGTTTCCACCATAACATTGTAACAAAGTGTTATACAAACTCGACAAAGTTTTCAACTTTTAACTATTTAATCTTATCACAGCTTTTGAAACGCCGTACTCTGTTGCCATGGTTGCACAAAAGAATTATATGTAAACGATTGATTTTCGTTAGCTTAACCCGCCGATTAGAGCAACGCACGAAATCGTACTGAAGTTTTTCGTGTGAGTTCAAAGTTATGGATATTCGAAAATGGAAATCGAGTGACGTGATAGCGAACATAGACCCCATTGTGGAAAACTGACGTCAGCGAAAAATTTATCGTTAAAATCTTTCGGTGAACTAAAATTAAGAAACACTGCACTATATGTAAAATATCAAAATGTATTGAATTGATTAATTACTAAGATTATTAAACCGTTTGTTTTATCGTCATAGAAACTTATTTGATAACGGAATTTCGGAACGGCTTTTATTATTTAAATTTATGCAACATGTACTTCCTCCAGTAGGTACCTACCATTTCGTTCCTCTCTTGCAGTCTCCATTATATCCTATATTTATCAATGTTTGTTTTGTGATCACATAATATCATTATAAAAAATACCTACAATATGTTAATAGGATGACTAAAGATTATAGGCCGAAAGAATAAAACGTATTTATAATATACGTGTAACTTTCAGTATCGATGAAGTCCGAACTAGGTACTATCCCGCGAAAACCTGAAAGGTGACTGCACTTCTTAGTAATGTGTAAAGTTGGAAAACTACAAAGTTCGGAATGGGCTAACTTTTCACAGTATCTTGTAGTGGGGAACTCCCACTAGTGTCAAGGGAATAATTTGTAGTAGTTGCACCTTTGTAACATGTGTATTTTTCCATGTTTAAGATAAATAGTTTATTTCGTGTCTTGTATTTACATTAGCTAAATAAAAATAAACAAAAAATAAATTTAAGTTAATGTTTTTAAGATTGTGAACGTCGCTGTAAGTTGAATTAAATGCCTAATCTTGTTGTAATAAAATGTATTGTCTAATCTTATAAAGGTACAAAAATCGAAAACTTACTCTTTACTTATCTTAACGTTTCATAATATAGTAGATTTAATGAAATAATTATTGCTATATCTATTAGGTGTGTACTTATCAAGTTATCGCCGTGGCAACTCAAAAATTAGATCAATAGTATTAGTTATAAAAAGCATTTGTTTTGTTACGTGTCTACGGTCATTTGTGTGTCGGTACTTAAACTTTATCACCCCCATTTATTTGCCTATGTTATTGAAATCATATCATTTGTCTCTTTCGCACATAAAACATCAGGCAAATTAAAAGTATGTCCATCTAAGTTTTGTTATAAAATAAAAAATATATTTCTTATTACAGATGTATTCCAAAATTGAATAGACAACTCCACTGTAAAACTTCGATGAGAAGAAAAGGAGGCTAATAAGAACGAGCAATAAGAAATAAGAGGTAAGCCCAAAACACAATAAGCCTAAGGTGATTGGCCAGTTCCAGGCACTGGGTAGCACGGATCGATTTTACGGCTGTCTGTTTCGTGTCAACTCATCAATGAGACTTCTGAACGTACTATCAATGCTTACCTATACAATATACATCCTTACCCCCCTTTCACCCAATAAGCTCCAAAATTAAAAGTGTTTTAGGAACTAAAGGTTGCTTATTGTACTGAAGGACTTCTGATAATAATTACATTTACTTGTGAAATACTTTTACACATTCATTTCCTGATTTTTTGGGAGTGATACGCAAGTACATATAAAAACTATTTTATGCGTTTTTAAACGCATGTCCACGAATCTTTCTTCTTCTAATCCTTGTACACGAATGCTGAAGAGCTCCCAAACGTCACAAAACAAAAAAACTACAAAACGTCGGCTTGTAATGAAGGAAATTAATTGCCTCTAACAATTTTTTTATATCTCGTACAAGTTAACTAGAGACTTCCCTTGGACTGCTACGCTACTAAGTCATATCTAGTTGATACTCAAGTTATTTGGTATTTATTATTAAACACTCGATAATCTTCTTTCAGAAAGCAGAAAGATGGGTCGTAAAGTAGTAGTAGCTGTATGTACGCTTAATCAATGGGCCCTTGACTTCGAAGGTAATTTACGGAGAATCCTAGAATCAATTCAGGAAGCCAAAGAACAGGGCGCTCTATATAGAACGGGACCTGAATTAGAGATTTGGTGTGTATCTTAGTTTAGAATCGGTATACATTTTTTAAGTTATAAATATAATAAATAGATCTTGTAAACACAGGTGTTGACCTGACAATCAGACTTTCCTAAGTATATTAAAATTAAAAACTTTGAAAATTTATACGTTTTACAGACCGAAAAAAATCCCTAAAACCACTAAACACCCAATTAAGCAGAATTTAAAAATTTAATTTCTCAGTTGTTTAGGTATTGTATGCAACGCTGTTTTTTAAACGTTACTATGTATAAATTATTTATACAGTGGGTACAGCTGCGAAGATCACTTCCACGAACCGGACACGTTCCTTCATAGTTGGCAGGTTTTAGCGGAGCTGCTAAAGTCTTCAACATGCCAAGATATCCTCATAGATGTCGGCATGCCCGTCCAACATCGCAATGTGTCTTACAACTGTCGTGTAGTGTTTCTGAATAAGAAAATTCTGCTTGTCCGACCAAAGATGATGATGTGTGAAGATGGTAACTACAGGGAGTCGCGATGGTTTTCTTGTTGGACAAAGGTAACAATACTAACTGTAGTTTACGCGAGTAGTACAGTGTTTTATCAAAATACTTTAGCGGTTTAAAACGCGATTTATATTAGTTAAACTTATTTGTGTAACTGTCTTCCCGTCATCACGGCTGCTGCAAAGCATCCGAAACGCCGGGCGTAGTTAATTTTTAGTTTAATACATCGCGTTTTAAACCGTTAAAGTGTTTTACGTATTACAAGAATAAAACTAAACAAGGTATAGGAATCATGTTTGATATTTCCTTGCCATTTTAAACAGTTATTTTAACTGATAAAAATTGTATTAATTTATATATTTAGGCCCAGTTAAGACGTTAGTCGTTACTACAATGTGTTATAAAAAAATATTTAAATATTTTCATGCTGAAAGGACCATAATGCTACTAACTTAAGACCCTTTATCGCACTAATCGTTGATCTAACCCACCTTGACTATACATTTTATTTAAAGCATATTGGCAGTAGGGATATATAAATTTGACACTGGTTCTGTGTACTATAGTACATTGTTGCTTAGTTTTAGTGTATCATGTTTTAATATCCTTATAGATCGCCAGCACATCTACATATCACCCAAATATGATGTACTTATGAATTTTCTTCACACTTGTTTCTTCATACCAGCTACAACAAAGGGAGACTTGTTTTGAATCCATATTTGTATATAAAGTATTACAAAGACAATTCATTTTTATTATATTTTGTTTCAAGGAACGACAAATAGAAGACTATTTTTTGCCACGCATGATTGCTAATATTACAAATCAGACGACAGTACCCATAGGCGATGGTGTTATAGCTACTAAAGACACTTGCATTGGTTTTGAAATTTGCGAAGAATTGTGGAATCCGCAAAGGTAGACACTTTACTAATGGTTTTGAATTTGAAGAGTTTGATTAAAGGGCTTATCTTAGGCACCACCGGTTCGAATTGAAAAATTGTGGTTGGTTTTCGTTGGTTAGAGCAGAATTGTGGAAGGCTGCGCTGCGACCAAGAAGCGAAGAAGCAGTTCGAAATCTAACTTATGTATAAAGCTTAACGTTTGTTTGTTTGACGCGCTCATATCGGGAACTACTTTTCGAATGAAAAAAATATATTGAGTTCGTAGAGTTCTCAAAAAAAACGGGGGAAATTAAACTGTGGGTGCTCATGCGTACGCTGCAAAAACAGTTCAAGATACCTAAAATGTACAAATAATTATTCCTCTTTAAATGATCTAAAAAAAGTCCGCGTCACTATATGTTTATTTTTTAAGATTAACTTGCAAGAATGACGGGACGCGACGTCGTGGGTAATAGGTTAAATTTATAAAATGAAGAGGGGGTTTGCAAAAGCCGATTGGATGTCCAAAATTACTATACGCGGATAAAGTCGCAGCTAGTTTAAAATAATTTTCAATTTCCGTGATTATCAGATGATTCTTGCAGTAGGAAAGTTTAAAAAAAATTGTAAAATATTTCTGAATACAACACTTCTATACTCTCATACAAACGTTTTATAACAATACATAAAAACCAATTTAAACCCTAATACAACGAAATAAAGTTCAAGTTAGAGTCGTTAAGAAAGAACGTTCCGAAGTTTATCTATTTCTTTCCGTTTTTAATATACCTATCCATCTCTATTACGTAATCTGAATGTATAAGTGTCGACTTTAGGTAAATTTATATCTCTTCCTATAAATAAAACTAAGTCTTTTTTTTGTAGTCGACACATTCCCTTAGGCCTGGACGGAGTAGAGATTATTTCGAATGGTTCCGGTAGTTACATGGAGTTACGAAAAGCGTATGTGACCGTGGATTTAGTTAAAAGCGCCACTTTTAAAAGTGGTGGTGCATATTTATTCAGTAATCTAAGAGGATGTGATGGCCAGAGAATTTATTTCAACGGGTGTTCATGTGTGGCTGTGAATGGGAATATTGTTAGTAGAGGATTACAATTCGCTCTACAAGACGTGGTATGTACCTAAGTAGTTCCCTATGGTTTAAGTATATTTCGGATTTTTAATAAACACTGTATGTAATTTCCGCGATTTTTATACATTTAATTAAAACACGGTAACCGTTTAAAATTGTATTTGTTAAACTTTACAAAATATCTTTGTTAAGACCCGACGTTTCGGATGCGTATCTGTTCCGTCTTATTTGGTATTTGTAAAGTTAAACTGATACATTTCGCCTATTAAACCGTTAAAAGTGTTTTATTCAAAAGATTTCCATTAGTTCTCTATCGCTAACATAAAATAAATGTTTGTTTTAGGTTCGTTAAAAAAACACTAATATTGAATGTATTTGTAAATAAGTCAATGGAGTATGTTATTGTCCAATGACCCAATATATTTAATATATTTGAACCGTTATAAGTATTTTATTTGATGTGTACCACTCGCAGAAGTACAAATAACATTTGCATGTATTTTTCTATGTTTTACAGGAAGTTACAACAGCTACTATAGATCTTGAGGACATAAGGTCTTATCGCAATAAAATACGTTCGAGAAGCCATGTCGCTGCATCGAACCCCCCATTTCCCAGAATCACAATTGATTTTGCCCTGTCAGATGACAGTGACATGTGCCTCATAGTGAATCGACCCATTGAATGGAAATATTTAACCCCGGAAGAAGAAATAGCATTGGGTAAGTGAATATCGCTCACTCGGGTGAGTTCTCATCTAGTTGTTCTAACTCCCCCCCTCACCCCACATTTGTGGTGATCCAAACCGAGGCCGATGTCCCCCTCGGGGCTCTTTTGGTTTAAATACCCGGCACAAGATAGGTAATAATAATCAATGAAAAGTAAATATCAAATTCTATATTTATTATTTACGTTGTCTAAATTTTGCTAAAATATTGTATTTATTGTCCAAATGTTATTCAGGTATTAAAGGAAGACAAATGTACAAAGCCAAATTAGGTCGACCACTCATTTTTTTTTAGACGTTGTCTTGTATTTCACCGTTTATAAAGTGTACCCTACGCTTTAGTCCACGTTGGTCAAAAATAATGTTTATAGAAAACATGTTATTTAGTTTTTGACAGTTGAACAAGTCAAATCAGTTATTTTGCTAGAGCAATAAGAACAACGATTATACGCAGGCATATAACAAAACCTTTATCAAAAAGATCTTAAAATTTTAGAATCGAGACCTATTTTCCAATTAAATTATTTTTATATAAAAATTACATATAGGTCCAGCTTGTTGGTTGTGGGATTACCTAAGAAGGTCGGGGCAAGGTGGGTTCTTTCTACCGCTAAGTGGAGGAGTGGATTCGTCTAGTACTGCATGCATCGTGTTTTCCATGTGCACTTTGATATGTGAAGCCGTTGAACGAGGAGGTATATCTTATTTATTTTAATAAAACATACATTTTAATATTTAGCATTCTCGAGCTGAATTTTTTGCACATATTTTTATCGGTATCTCAAACCGTTTTGGCAGCGCACGCAACGAAATCTCTCAAAGATGATTTTCCTTGTTTTTCCACGTTTCCCAGTGTTCCTTCGCGCCTATTGGGCGCAGTCTCATCTTTTATAGCCTTCCTTAAAAAATGGTCCAATCAGGAAAGGAAATTAATTTTCTATTCAAACCAATATTCCTGAGATTAGCGCGTTGAATTAACCAAACAAACATAGTCTTCAGCTTTATAATATTAGTAAAGATTTCACTTGTGCTAAACTTAACATCACGTTCTTCAAGATGTAAAGAAAAAATTAAAACAGTAACTGTCAAAACATTGTAAATTTAATGTTAAAGTAAAAGATTACATATTTAGTATATATATGTATGTATGTCGTTCTATATAAAATAAAACAAAAAAATATAAAAAGGCACCGGCGAGATTCGAACTCACGATCTCCTGTTTACTAGACAGGCGCTTTAACCAACTAAGCCACGGCGCCGATGGAGTGCATTGCGAAATACCTGGGTGTATGGTAAGGTGGTGGGGAACCCTATTGCCAAAATAAAATTCTTTTATTTACTTCTTTCAAACACTAACCTCTTTTTAATGTGTCCTGCTTTAAATTCTATTTTGAATTAATATACATGCGGAGACCTACTATCAGCGTTTGTCAGCACGTAAGTCGCCCGTTCGAGTCCCACCTCTATTATTTTACGCTATACCTGTAAAAGCGTTTTCAATACTGGGTTTCTTCCATTACATGTAACTAAGAAATAACAACTTCAATTACTAAATACATTTTCAGAATCGCACGTCTTAGACGATGTACGTAGAGTCGTGTGTGATTCCGAGTATACTCCTAAAAACCCAAAGGAACTGTGCAATAAATTGCTTGTCACTTGTTATATGGCTTCTGAGAATTCTAGCCAAGAAACAAACCAGCGGGCTAAGCAGGTATTAAAACGCTAAGTTAGTTATCTTATGTTTATCTACGACGTTTAGACTAGCGTAAACAAAAGATAATCTCACATTTTGTAACTACACAGTAGAATTATTTTTATTCGAAATGCAATAGTTTTATAAAAAATAGTATTCCATTGTGCTTTGTGAAAAGCACTCGAAATATCAGACCGTATTTAAAGGAGAAATTAGTAAAACTTGTATATTTGTATTTTATATCTTAATATGTACCCCTCGCGTGAACTAGGCATTTATTTTTCTACTTACTCAATGTTACTGACTAAAAAACCTTTACATTATACCATTTCGAGATAAATGAAAAAGTTCGCTACGTCGCGGAACCCTACCTGACCGATTTTCTTATCTTTCCCCGAAATTAGAACCCTAGACCTGTCATGCCTAACTTAAGAAGACCTAAGTATGTTGCTACTTTTTCCAAGTTTTTGAGTAGTGTTGTAGTTTTATCCGTATTTTATGAACAACACTGTTGATCATAGATTCGATTCGTTTTAAATAATTTACAACTAATAAGGTTACGTTTTCCAGCTTGCCAGTGAAATTGGGAGCTACCATTTCCCAGTGCTGATAGATACAGCAGTTAAAGCCGTAGTTGGTATTTTTCAAGCTGCTACAGGGCTTATACCAAAGTTCAAAAGCAACGGCGGATGTGTACGAGAGAATCTCGCGTTACAAAATATTCAGGTAATTGTTTTTATTTGTATTATAATACCTGAATATACACATAGTTAACAACCATACGCAAGTGTGAAGGTTGAAATTACATTGCGTGAGAGGTGCATGTATCAATAGGTTGAAAAATTCGACGATGAGGTGTAGGACTCGGTAGCTCAATTGGTAGAGCAAAAGCACGGAACGTTGACGATGCCGGTTCAAGGACTGCCCGAGTCGAAAATTTTTTCAATTTATTTTCGATTTTTAAATTATATAGTGCTTTCATATGCAATCACATGTTAAAAAAAATAAAGTTTTCAGCAATAATACAGGTTTGCAAAAACTCATTTCTACACGGACGAAGTCGCTGACACAGCTAGTAAAGTATAAAATAACAGATTTCTGTCACGGTCTGGACTTGTCCTAGTGAGGTTATCCAATTTTCACTAAATTAGAGTAATGGCTGACAGTTTCTCGTTTGTTTTTTATTTGAGTGAATATCGCTTCGTGTTATTAATATGTTTTCCGTTTTCTAGGCTCGAGTAAGGATGGTCCTTTCGTATTTGTTCGCGCAACTAATGCTGTGGGTGCAGGGCAGACCTGGTTGTCTGCTAGTGTTGGGGTCTTCCAACGTAGACGAGGCGTTACGCGGTTACCTCACCAAATACGATTGCTCTAGTGCTGATGTTAACCCTATTGGTGGCATATCCAAGACGGACTTGAAGTCTTTTTTGCTTTATGCCACAAACCGGTAAGTCAATTATTTCCAGGGATTATTTTCGTAGTTGTATTTTCCACAATTGGGACTATCTGTAGAGATTTATTTAATGATTCATATTTATGTAACAAATATATGTTGTATCTCTCTGAATATATAGAGCTGAAGAGTATGTTTGTTTGAAAGCGCTAATCTTAGAAACTACATGGGGGAATTGTAATTTATTTTTGCGTTGGTCAGAGCATTTATAGCGAGGAAGGTTAGGCTATAAAACATCGCGCTGCGGCTAAGAAAGAAAGAAACAAACCAACTCAAACTGACTTATAAGAGACAAAGCTGATTGTTTTCAGGTACAGATTACCAGCTCTCTCCGACATCCTCGAAGCCCCACCGACCGCTGAGTTAGAACCCCTAGCAGAGGGTAAAATAACTCAAACTGACGAACAAGATATGGGCATGACCTACGCGGAGCTATCAGAATTCGGACGTCTAAGGAAAATGCACTCCTGTGGGCCGTATGGAATGTTTGAAAAGCTGCTTCATACTTGGAGTGAGAGAACACCACAGGAGGTAATGATAAACTTTTTGCTCACTCGTCGCTTTCACTTTTGCAATTTTAAACCGTCGAGTGTTTTATTATAACAGACGGCAGTTGTAAATATGCCAAATAACAAAGTTTGTTAAAATGTATGTGATGCAGAATATATGTATATGAAGAATGTATCAAAATATGTGTATAGTTTTGAAATCACACATGAACATCATCCATTCCATGTCACAAATAAAGCTATGAAATGTTTAAGTCCATTTTATTCAATAATGTTAGTATAAGTGTCTTGACAGTTGGCACTTTAGTTCGTTTTTGTAATGTAGATGTGTATAATGGCGTCGCCGCTAATTTGTTTGTCAATTAACAGATTTCAGACTTAGATCGTTTTATTAACTAGATTTTGAGATCCATATAATTCGACAGGTTGCCGATAAAGTGAAACATTTCTTTCGCTGCTACGCAATTAATCGGCATAAAATGACAGTTCTGACACCGTCATACCACGCCGAAACGTACAGCCCAGATGACAATCGGTTCGATCATCGGCCTTTCTTATACCCAGTGAACTGGCACTGGCAGTTTCGGCAGATTGACGAGTCAGTAAGTTGAAGGTTGTATTATTCAAAGTTCAAAGTTTGTAGAGTACAAAAGTGTTGCCATTCTTTTTTTATTTAAAGAAAAGAAATAGTTAAGGATACTTGAAATGAAAATTATAAGTGAAGAAACCCAGTCCATGTAAAAATTACTGATTTTTTTTATATGTGGCCCTGTTTTTTTTTTTAAGTTTAATAGGACTTCTTATTTTTTGTAGGTAAGCCTGATGACTAAAATTCAAGAGACGGAATCTGCCTAAAATGTTACGATTTTTCTCCCTTTTTTTTACATATTGTATGATAATTGGTTGTTATTTTTTATTGTCTTTTTTTATGGAAATGATTAATTTGTAAGTAACAGTAAATTACAATAATTATTATACTTATAACCCTTATTACTACATCTTTTATATTTGTTTGTAAAAGTATGCAGTAATGTTATTGATATGTAGTTTAAAATATAATTGAATATCTTTATTATTGAATAGGAAATAATTTATTGCTAGACCAATAAAACGTCATTGTTAAAACATTGCTTTATTTTCAATTAGATTCCAAAAACCGCTATGACACTGAAAAAAAAATATGTTAGATTGAAAAAAGTAGATTACGGAATTTGAACCCACGAACACAGGGTTACGTCATATTGCTCTACTAAATGAAACGGTGTAATTCAAATGTGAACATGTTAAATATAATCGTATTAAAATGAATGTTAATCATTATGTACAATACAAATTAAGTATGGTGCAAAGTGAATGCAATACATAGCACTGCGTTAAGCGGGTTCCAGGGCACAATATTTTCGATCGGGCACGGCACAGAAGTCCTTGAACTACTAGCATTTAAATTGGGTGAAACGTATATAGAAATTGAAACATACCAAAAATTACAAAATTGATTGGCCTAAGTCACCGATTGGTGAACCTGAAAGAAAAAAAATAATGAATACTTTCCGTAAACTGTGTTGCAATTATTAAAAACTATAAAATTAAGCGCAAAGGCATCCCTTTATGTAAAATTGTCATAGAATTTTTTCCTCTCAAACAATAAACCTCAAATAATAAACAATAAATAAATAAAAGAAATTAAGAAACGATTTTTGTTGGAACTCCTACTTGTCTTGGATTTTGTCTCATATGGGTTGACATTTCTTTTATTTAGTATCGCATAGAGGCATTCTGTCAAAATGACTCCTATAGCCAAAGTAAAGAACTAATATATTAGATACTGTCTATAGTTTACGCGAGTAGTACACATTTAAATAAAACACTTTAACGGTTTCAAACGCGATATTCGGATGCTTTGCAGCAGCCGTGGTCACGGGGAGACACGACTGCTGCAAAGCATCCGAAACGTCGGGCCGAAGTTAAAAATCATTTTCAAATAAGTTTAACTAATATATCGCGTTTTAAACCGTTAAAGTGTCTTATTTAAACTAATATATTACTTTTCTTGTAATGACAGAGGTTTTACTAGCTAGCGGGTGAAATAACCAAGTCATATATAATTTTGACTTTTGAATATTTCGCCCAAAGTTTGAAACAGAACGCAGACGTACCATTTCAATTCCATCAGATAACGATGGTTTCTCCCCACAATAACCCATCTCATATTGAGATGTTCCAGACGAACACAATCATTAAGAAAAAAATTATACATTGATTTTGAAAACACGTGGCTGCTGAATAAATAATAATCTGCAATAGTAGTTCTAGTAAGCTTTTTTCCTAACAATACAGCGCTTCTACTTCCGTACCTCAATTGTTTAGATGATGCAAGAGACTCGGAATTCGAAGCCCGGGTAAACATTAAAGTCAGTTGGGCACAAAAGTTTTATACAGTACTTGTCTATAAAAGTGATCAGTGGAACAGAAGTGATGCGGAGTTTTACTTTTTAGACAATTTAAACCTATATTATGATGTTATTTGTACTAACCTGCATCAGGGCCATCTGAATCTACTGGGAGTTTGTCAACAATACCTCCAAGCTCACCCAACGGGTTTACTATATGATAAAAAAAATATTAATTATATTTCAATGAGTTAGGAAATAACTTGGAAAAATCTATAAATACCAAACACAGGTAATAAGTTTCTTTATCAAAATATATTTACGTATTTATAATTATAATAAAATAGTTACACATTCTTACAGAAAATGAGCTATAGTATCCTATATACCTTTATTTATTTATTAGTCCTAAACAAACTAAAGAACATTATATAAAACTCACCTCCTCCGGGATAAGCGAACTGTAAAAAAGAATTCGATGTTTAAAAAAACATTTTATCTCTACTTAATATTTCTCTTATTAGACAGACTCAAGCACACTCACGTTTGTTTTATAAATTAGTAATTGCATTGTATATTGTAGTAACTCAAATTTATTTCTTTTAATTGGACATGTTTGTGCACAATACAAAATGCTTTTAATACCAATAAATTTTCATTTATTATTAAAACGAGATCGAAATTGAAATTGGAAATGAACGCGCCCTTCAGTGGAAAACACGAGGAAATGTCCCAGAACCAAAATTCGGTAGCGGTCCATATCGACAAAGAATGTTAATAGTAAAAATATAAATACGTACAGCTGCCACAAAGAGCACGGCGATGCAGAGGACGAAAAGAAGGTTTCCGAGCATTTTCCTTGTTTTTCCGTTGCGTTAATTGGAATGCTTTTGAAACAAAATGTCTTCGTTTATATACATAACGCCGAGCTTGCCCGTTACCTATTTTACACAGCTGGACAAATAATACGACGCTGCTATTGCCTAATTCGTATTATGGTGAAAAACACCTATTCTTAGGATCGAAAACAAATTTGAATTATACAGAGTGTATTTATTTTCTGAGCAATTCTTTCAACTATGATCTAGTTTTGAATAAACGAAAAAAATATAAATAGATCTTAGTGCGAATTGCGAGCAATTGGAAGTGAAATCCCGCTTAAAATACTGTCTATAGTTTACGCGAGTAGTACACATTTAAATAAAACACTTTAACGCTTTAAAACGCGATATATTAGTTAAAGTTATTGAAAATGATTTTTATGAAATGAAATCCCGCTTTCCCCGTGGCGCATGGGGCTAACATATATCTGTGTCCATTTCACTGATCGGTTTCATTCGATCGCTAAGCAGCTATCTCTTCCAGGCAACCTGAAGTACAGGAGAAAATAAATAAATAAGGGACTATTAAGTGGGTAGGTGTAAGGAATTATAATAAAAAACGCAAATCGTCTTTTATGATTTGTTAAATATTACCAAAATATAAAAGGAAAAAGAGATAGTTACGCTATAAAGCCATAGTTTACATAGGCTGCTGCAAAGCATCCGAAACGTCGGACCGAAGTTAAAAATCATTTTCAAATAAGTTTAACTAATATATCGCGTTTTACACCGTTAAAGTGTTTTATTTAGATAATTGGGGTGGTTAATCTGAATTCGTCGCCGATCTTCTGACCAAATTCAGATAGAATTTTCTTCTTGATCTTCTTAAGACATTCGATTTTAAAGTAATTCATTCGATTCTGTTTGTTTCGTTGTTATATTGTTTGAACCAGATCACTGCTTTAAACAATATAACAATGAAACAAACTAGTAATAAATCCCCTAGGTGGCGATATACTTTGTACCTTAGGTACAAAATTTTCATGAATTTTTATTTTAAGTTTTTAACAGTAAACTTCACTACAGTTAGAAATTTAGAGGATTTCAATTTTTATATGTGGCCCTGTTTTTTTTTTTAAGTTTAATAGGACTTCTTATTTTTTGTAGGTAAGCCTGATGACTAAAATTCAAGAGACGGAATCTGCCTAAAATGTTAGATTTTTCTCCCTTTTTTTTACATATTGTATGATAATTGGTTGTTATTTTTTATCGTCTTTTTTTATGGAAATGATTAATTTGTAAGTAACAGTAAATTACAATAATTATTATACTTATAACCCTTATTACTACATCTTTTATATTTGTTTGTAAAAGTATGCAGTAATGTTATTGATATGTAGTTTAAAATATAATTGAATATCTTTATTATTGAATAGGAAATAATTTATTGCTAGACCAATAAAACGTCATTGTTAAAACATTGCTTTATTTTCAATTAGATTCCAGAAACCGCTATGACACTGAAAAAAAAATATGTTAGATTGAAAAAAGTAGATTACGGAATTTGAACCCACGAACACAGGGTTACGTCATATTGCTCTACTAAATGAAACGGTGTAATTCAAATGTGAACATGTTAAATATTATCATGTTAAAATGAATGTTAATCATTATGTACAATACAAATTAAGTAAGGTGCAAAGTGAATGCAATACATAGCACCGCGTTAAGCGGGTTCCAGGGCACAATATTTTCGATCGGGCACGGCACAGAAGTCCATGAACTACTAGCATTTAAATTGGGTGAAACGTATATAGAAATTGAAACATACCAAAAATTACAAAATTCCTTTGCCTAATCCACTGATGGGTAAACCTGAAAGAAAAAAAATAATGAATACTTTCCGTAAACTGTGTTGCAATTATTAAAAAAATAAATGTAAGCGCAAAGGCATCCCTTTATGTAAAATTGTCATAGAATTTTTTCCTCTCAAAGAATAAACAATAAATAAATGATAACGATGGTTTCTCCTCACAATAACCCATCTCATATTGAGATATTCCAGACGAACACAATCATTAAGAAAAAAATTATACGTTGATTTTAAAAACACGTGGCTAAATATAATAATCTGCAATAGTAGTTCTAGTAAGCTATACTAACACTTCTACTTCCGTGCCTCAATTGTTTAGATAAGTGTCTCGCAAACTGTGTGCCGCGGCACACTGGTGTGCCGCGGGAGAATGTTAAGTGTGCCGCAAAAGATTTTCCAAGTTGCACTAGATATTCTGAGATTAATCTATAAACCAATTTCTAATAACTATAAAATTACCCAAAAAGTAATAATTTTACTTTAACTAAATAACCCAGAACGCAGGTACTCGTAACAACAAGATGCACAAGCGAGGGCAAATTGGTTAGAAAAGCACTGGGCGTAGTTTTTCCCCCACTCAACGTATTTAATAATGTAATTTAGCTTAGTGTGCCGCGGAAAAAAAAATCATCAGTTAGCGTGCCGCAGACTAAAAAAGTTTGCGAGACACTGGTTTAGATGATGCAAGAGACTCGGGGTTCGAAGCCCGGGTAAACATTAAAGTCAGTTGGGCACAAACGTTTTATACAGTACTTGTCTATAAAAGTGATCAGTGGAACAGAAGTGATGCGGAGTTTTACTTTTTATACAATTTAAACTTATATTATGATGTTATTTGTACTAACCTGCAGGAGAGCCACCTGAACCTACTGGGAGTTTGTCAGCAAGACCTCCAAGCTCACCCAACGGGTTTACTATATGATAAAAAAATATAAATTATATTTCAATGAGATAGGAAATAGTTATAAATAACTTGGTAAAATCTATAAATACCAAATACAGGTATTAAGTTTCTTTATCAAAATATATTTACGTATTTATAATTATAATAAAATAGTTACACATCCTTACAGAAAATGAGCTATAGTATCCTATATACCTTTATTTATTTATTAGTCCTAAACAAACTAAAGAACATTATATAAAACTCACCTCCTCCGGGATAAGCGAACTGTAAAAAAGAATTCGATGTTTAAAAAAACATTTTATCTCTACTTAATATTTCTCTTATTAGACAGACTCAAGCACACTCATGTTTGTTTTATAAATTAGTAATTGCATTGTATATTGTAGTAACTCAATTTTTTTTTAATTGGACATGTTTGTGCACAATACAAAATGCTTTTAACTTATTTCATCGATAAGATATTTTTTCTTTTTGATGTGTTAAGTGGACATTAACTAAAATAAATAAAAAAAATGGAAGGAAGTATGTACCTATTAAATTCATTTTAAGCCGTATGGATCTATAGCACTAGAAAATCTGCAAGTTTTCATTTGTAAAATGAGATTGAATTTGAAATTGGAAATGAACGCGCCCTTCAGTGGAAAACACGAGGAAATGTCTCAGAACCAAAATTCGATAGCGGTCCATATCGACAAAGAATGTTAATAGTAAAAATATAAATACTTACAGCTGCCACAAAGAGCACGGCGATGCAGAGGACGAAAAGAAGGTTTCCGAACATTTTCCTAGTTTTTCCGTTGCGTTAATTGGAATGCTTTTGAAACAAAAAGTCTTCGTTTATATACATAACGCCGTGCTTGCCCTTTACCTATTCTACACAGCTGGACAAATAATACGACGCTGCTATTGCCTAATTCGTATTATGGTGAAAAACACCTATTCTTAGGATCGAAAACAAATTTGAATTATACAGAGTGTATTTATTTTCTGAGCAATTCTTTCAACTATGATCTAGTTTTGAATAAACGAAAAAAAAAACATAAATAGGTCTTAGTGCAAATTGCGAGCAATTGTAAGTGACATCCCGCTTTAAATACTGTCTAAAGTTTACGCGAGTAGTACACATTTAAATAAAACACTTTAACGCTTTAAAACGCGATATATTAGTTAAAGTTATTGAAAATGATTTTTATGAAATGAAATCCCGCATACCCCGTGGCGCATGGGGCTAACACATATCTGTGTCGATTACACTTATCGGTTTCATTCGATCGCTAAGCAGCTATCTCTTCCAGGAAACCTGAAGTACAGGAGAAAATAAATAAATAAGGGCCTATTAAGTGGGCAGGTGTAAGGAATTATAATATAAAACGCAAATCTTCTTTTATGATTTGTTAAATATTACCAAAATATAAAAGGAAAAAGAGATAGTTACGCTATAGAGCCATAGTTTACTCTGCATTTTGTGTAGATATAGTACTTCTATTGTTTTTTTTACTTTGCCAATAAATGTAATTTGCGTTTTGTTGTACTCATCGTATGTGGAAGTTATATATTTTTAAACTCATTACCAAGAAAAAGATGAAGTAATTATATGATCACCATAGATTCAAACGCAATTACGAAATTCTAAAACATTTTATTGAACGTAATATCTCCATTTCTAGAATTATTATAATATAATATAATAAAATAAGAACAATAGGCAGTAATAGAAAACTGTTGAATTTGCTGCGTAATTTACTTCAAATAAATATAAAACATTGACAAAGCGCGTAATTAATGCTTTTGTCCTTACGTAATTATGTTTGCTTAACATAACAATAACTTTTTAAAATATAATCCAGTTGATTAAAAATAATAGGTATATATTCTTTGTTTTACTGTTTTAAATAATAGAAGATGAATCAGTGAAGAGATATCTACGTTGGTGGTGCAGACACATTCCTATATCCGTTTTACTGATTGATGTTAAGTGTTTAACTGAATGATAAGTATCTTTAGTCCTTAAATAAACCAATAGAATACTTTTAATGGTTTAAGATAGGAAACATTAATTTTTCCTTTTAAATTTAAAACGACTTTTCGTAAGGCTAAGTTGGAACTAAAAATTATAAAGTTAGAATCATTCAATTACATCATTTTCGCATTTCAAACAATTAAAGATTTTTTATTAACAAATAATTGGGTGAAATACTTTACTATATATGTCTATAGTTTACGCGAGTAGTACATATTTAAATAAAACACTTTAACGGTTTAAAACGCGATATATTAGTTAAACTTATTTGAAAATTATTTTTAACTTCGGCCCGACGTTTCGGATGCTTTGCAGCAGCCGTGGTCCAACCAACTTCCACCGAACAGATGGCGCTAGCGTAGCAATTTTTTACTTTGACGTCAGAGACATCCTCCATCTTTAGTCTCCCCGTGACCAAGGCTGCTGCAAAGCATCCGAAACGTCGGACCGAAGTTAAAAATCATTTTCAAATAAGTTTAACTAATATATCGCGTTTTACACCGTTAAAGTGTTTTATTTAGATAATTGGGGTGGTTAATCTGAATTCGTCGCCGATCTTCTGACCAAATTCAGATTGAATTTTCTTCTTGATCTTTCTTAACACATTCGATTTTAAAGTAATTCATTCGATTCTGTTTGTTTCGTTATTATATTGTTTGAACCAGATCACTGCTTTAAACAATATAACAATGAAACAAACTAGTAATAAATCCCCTAGGTGGCGATATAGACTACTTTAGGTACAACATTTTCATGAATTTCTTCAACTTTACTACAGTTAGAAATTTAGAGGATTTCAATATTAGGTAAGTAGGAGGTCTACCCAACAAGGAAAAACATGGCAAGGGGTCTACGACACAAAAAAGTTTGGGGAACTCTGGTTTAAAGCATTGAATATTTTGTCAAAGAGGACTTTAGTTTCCCCATGAGTATGTAAGGCAATACCTTACAGCTTTAGTATATAGTATTTATCCAATATAGATACAACTAAAGCTCGTGGCTTTATATTAAAACCAAAAAATATTATGTGTGTAAATTTATTCCTTTATATTCCCCTCGAAAGGTACCACCTATTTTCTCTCGAACTTGCCTCGGTAAGTAGTCTAACACAAAAATAATTTTTCAAACGAACTCTTAAGCTTTACAATATTTGTATAGATCGATCTCCATTTCCTGGTTCTACGAAATTAATAACAGTTCAATTGCAATAATTGTTTTAAAAATAAGTTTTGTTTATAAAGTATAATCAAACAAGTAGCGGTATAGTAAAATAAATTTATTAATTAAAATTAGAAAAAGCTAGCGGTAACCATACAAAGTTTAAGCAGATTCTGTGACTTGTCGCAATTAGGTATATCTGTAAAAAAGAAAATAATATTTATAAATAAAATAATTTATTTTTACGATTTTTTAAATAAAGTTAATATAAAATATAATAGATTATAAAAGATGAGAGGACACAATTTTCAAGAAAGTAAATAGTGGTAAAATTCATGATAAATACCAAAAACACTACCACTAGAAAGAAAATGAAAGTAAATTTATCCATAGCTACGTACCCCTTAGAATCCAAAGAAACCTCCAGTGAATCCTTTGATTGTATTTACAGCTCCATCCAAGATGTTGGCACCTAGATTGATACGGTTTTTATTAACATCATTCGTAATGATTAAAATCAATCTATAAATATATACATCATATCTTTAAATCCAGCTAAGCCAAAAGTTATAATATTTCTGAAAAGGAAATATTAATATCACCTTGCTGCGTGTTCGCAAATACTGACAAAATCACTCGACTAAATTCAGTAAAGTATTTTCTTTAATATTTCTGATGGAATGTAGATAATATCGCTATCATGATTAATTTAAAACGATACCCTTTCTTCAGACACGCACGCTAGACTAGGGCTCGGTTTATCAAAATATTTTTTTTCAATTTTACTGATTGATAACAATTTATTTATAACTCTCTGCAAACCTCCACCCAGTTTTTTGGGATCTGCAGCATTAGTAAGGGCTTTAGGATCCGCAGCTTTAGTAAGGGCACTGGGATCAGCAGCACTTTTCACAGCACCAGCAGGATCTAAAAATTTAGAGAATTAATAAAAATCACTTCCTAACACAATTTAATTTGATATTATATTAAATTGTATTTACTATTTTATAAGAGCAATTAAAAATATATTCTTTACGACTCACCATCTGCAGGTTTTGCGAACTGAAAAATAGAACGATACATGTAAAATACTTGTTAACAAGGTTCTAAAATTAATAATTAAAAGATAACGAGAATAAAAAAAACATATTTTCTTAAAGAGATTTCATAAAAGGACTTACTGCGCTCATTACGACCACCGCAATCATAAAAACAACGAAGAAATATTTCATTTTTGTTACAATTATAGATAGGAATTCTTTGTTATTAGCAAGAAAACTAGCAACTGTTTAATTTAAAGGCAGTCTTCTCACCATTTATATACCAGATACTGACAAAACATGATAAATGTAACGATTATACAGCACATATGTTTTCTTTGTTTTTTGATTTACATGGTGTCGGTATTTTGTTATTGAATTTTACCTACGTTAAATTTCGTACGGTTGTCTTCTTTTGTAAAACGCTTCAAGTTTGGCGTCACGATATTATTTATTTGGATTTCTACTACTTCATCTACGTATAGCCAACACTGATTTTAATTCTTATGTAGACATTGGTCTGTTCTGACGCATGTTATCTGTAATAATAATCGGCGTGGTTGAATTCACCAAATTTGGATAGTGCTTTTATTAGATCAGCTGACACGAAATTCAATAGTGCGTTGTAGAATGTAACATATTTTTCGTAAAAACGTTATTATGTGTAGAGTAAAAATATCCATCAACCCAATTATTAATTTTACTATATTACGTAGCTATATTTTTCTTTTATATATAAATAACTAAAATAAATAACACTTAAGTTTAAGAATAAAATATCTGTCTGCGTGTGAAATGAACATCATTGTTGGTGACTTATATTATTAGACTCCAAAACAATGGTATAGATAAAAAAATAACAATAATGTATCAAACTTATATCTACAATGTACGAGGTAATCTGAGTAGTTCTTTACAATATTTTATTTATAATTTTCGACGGGCTCGTTGGTCTCGGTGGTCGGAATAGTCGCAATTTACGGCTAATACTCCACGGGTCGTGGGTTCAACCTCCGCCGGTTCCAAAAATTTTCTATTAATTTATAATTTTTCTGAAACATGTTGGACTTCATCTGGAAATCTAGATATTAAATGGTAGGAATATCGAAATTCCGTCCCGGTCACGAACCGCTGTCCACAGATGAAAAAGCCGTGAAGTTTAATAACGTTTCAGTTTGTCTGTACTTCACAATCATTAAAAAATCGCAATAGCAACGGTGTAACAACAAATATTGTTAGTAGACAGCATGTTGTTTAGTTTAGTATGTTGTTTGAATTATATGTATACATAGTTCTTCTTAATGCCAACGTGGTAGAAAATAATCGTCAGCTTAACTATTGCATCCCTAAGACTTTCCAAGTATGTATGACATAAATGTATGTATTATATTAAATACAGTAGAAATGTCAAGACAATTAATAGTGCCTAATACTCGTAAAAAGCGTTAATATTTATTTCGTGTAATTTGTTTTTATATATTATTAAAGTTGTCTTTGTTATATCGGGTTTTAGAGGTAGAAGGTATGGAATAATAAAATTAAAAACAAATGTTCCAGAGCTGATACCGTGTTTTGTATTTGTTATTATATACACTCTGAGTTCAATACGTCACTTGTAGGAGCGATAGCTGCCTTTATATCTGTAACAAACAATATTATTAAATATGACAATTATTGCTAGCAAACAATCCAATTTACTCCCTCCATCTTACTAATTTACGATCAAGTAGTGTGCTGACGTGAGCTCAACATTTTCACCCATTATAAAAAAGCTTAAGAAGCTTTCACTTAAATAACATTAACAAATTTGGCTGTTTATATTTAATCTGACTCGGGCACGACAACTGCCATCCACAGCGGTCCGTGCTGTTAGAGAAACCAATTGGGCTACCGACTACACGTCATCGAAATTTATTTAAGCTGCACCTCTCGCGCCACTACAGTCATATTTTTTTTTCAATTTATAATCAATTGTTATTTATAAAATACCATCATGTGCGAAACATGTGAACAAATGTGATAACATGTGAAAAATATTAAAGCTTTCAATCTTTATTATGTTTCGAAAGCATGTATGATGCTAGTCCATACTAATACTACGACTATAATCAAAGAATTCAATGATAGTATCATATGAATAGTATCACAAAAGCATCGACATTAATTTTAATATACACATACTAGAACACAAAAATAAAAAAATATTTTAGTTGAATTTTTGTAAGTGAAGAGAGACTATTATTGTAATATGGAGGTTCAATAAAAACTCACAGATTAACCAGTTCCGAATATACCCCTTGCAATTCCTTTGAATGTGTTGACGAATCCGCTTAAAATGCTAGAATCTAAGAACGATTTTTTTTCATTAGTAGAAACGAATGAAGAAATGTTTCATTAATTTACATTTTATTATATTTAATTACAAAGCATACCAGCTAATTGTCGGGCAGCACCAAACGCATTACTGGGGTTCGCATTGTTAGTTACGCTTGGATCTGAAATAGAGATTAGGGAAAAAATTTCAATAAATATATATTGATGTATCAACGGGTCATTAGTTTAGTTTCTCACTGATATTCTTGGCATTATTTTTTCATTATTTAAAGCATTCCAACGTTTGGAATGTACAGGAAAACAAAAAAATTGCTAGATTCAACAGCGGTGAAGTATTAAATCATGTGCAAGAAAGGTCGACAACGCATCGTAACTCAGTGCGAAAAAGCTGTCCTCTTCTGTCTTATAAAAGACTTACCATCAACGGGTTTCGCAAACTGAAACAAAGAAATTACATTAAGAAATTGTATCTTAATATCACATGTTATATACGCGTTTAACGTAAACGTTCTTCTTACCTTTTTTGGAATTTTAAAGATATTAAATCATATATTTTATTTTTTTCGTTTTTAGCTTCGGGATAACAATCGTTTCGGATGGGCAGTGAAACGGACACAATAATGCCACGAACATTTCACATATAATACGATGTGCGGTGTTTACCTAGGATTATTTTGTTTCTAACAGAATATTTTAGAATAATTTACACTTATCATAAAAATACTTACTGTAACCATCACTACAATTGCAATAATTAAAACAAAGTATAGGTATTTCATTCTCAAAATATTTCTTGAGTTTCTCTGCTAAAATAACAGCGTTAAACAACTCAAACGTAGTCTATCCGCTATTTATATACAAAATGTAGACAGAAGTAATATTTTAACCATATGCAAATATATTTTTTGTTTTGTACATTTATCTTATTGATTATTTTTAGTTCCTACATGTATAACTTAAATTTTCGAGAGCGTTTTCTTTCTTTGGTTTGCAGACCTCTTTTGTTTTGCTTTTGCATTATATTAGTAACAAGGTATAATTAGCTATTAGCGGCCATCTTGTCTGTCCCATCTTTTGATATATATTCCTACATTTTCGTTAGCTGAATTAGCATTTTACAACACCGGGATATATTTTGTCAAAATATAGAGTACTAGCTGCGTCAGCGACTTCGTCCGCGTGGAATAATCTTTGTAAACCTATTACAAATAAATAAATAAGTAATACCTATTTAAGCTGTTACCCACGACATCAGTCGCGTCCCGTCGCTCGAGGCCCATCGTTCTTCCAAGTTAATCTTAAAAGAAAGACATATAGTGTACACGGACACTTTTTTAGATCATTTAAAGAAGATTAATTCTTTCATACATATTTTTCTGGTCTTTTGAACCGTTCGGGTGTGATTTTCCGGTGTCTTGAAAATAATTTTAATAAACTTTTACTCAATACACAATAATTATACTAACATAATAAACAAAATAATCTTGAATTTTATTTACATTTTTTATCCATGCCCCTGTCCTTAATATTTATACGCATATGATTAGAATTTCATCATTTATTTATCCAGATACTACCCAATCGCGTCCTTCATTTAAAGAAAAGCGACCACGCGTTTGTTAGACGAACGAACGACGACGAACGGATTTGCATATGAAACAATTGAAAAATACGTTCCGCCACTCGTTGATTTAACTCTGAAATTAGAGTCTTATTTACTCAGCTGAGCTGAACATTTTCAGGTAAGGAAATGGTGTTAAATTTACCATTGCAAATGAATCCAAATCATTCAAAATGTATGTTAGTGCGACTAGAAAAACATTTTAAACACATAATTGACACCGATTTAATTTCAATTTAGAATAAAAATATTAATAATACAGTTTTTATTGGTCTCATACAAAACTATTTTATATGTAGGTACATTAAGAGTGTAGTAAGTATATAACAGAATTCATGTATATTTTTAGCCAAAATATGCGACAAAAAATGAAAATATATGAAGTATTCCTCTTCATATATTTTCATTTCATGACTGTCTACCATCATAACGAGGACGATTCTAAGGAGAAGGTAATGTTATAAGGCTAACAATATACGTAAACACACAAGAAAGTAAACCATTTTCAAACAATAACTTATATTTATGTTAGTTAATGTTAACCACGACCGTCGTTTTGTAGACGTCACTTGAAACTGTTCTTACGATGGTATAAACTACAGATACAACTCATAGGAAAGATTAAAAATTAGTTCGATTAACAAATATCGATTTGTCGTTATAGTCTATGGACTCGTTAATTGGTGGAAAGGAATATTGTAACTGTAATATAATGAAGACGACAAGAGCCGTCATAGATTTGAGAACCGAATTCGAGCTGAATACATAAACGCCATAAACCGAGAATTTAACATCGTTGACTTCCAGCAGGTGAAATATACTTTCGGCGATATCTCGTACTTCATCTGTAAAAAATAAAAAGGGTGAAGGTAGTCTTTAAATCCACCTACCCAGTCTGGAGTAGAGTCACCACTCAGTTTACAAACTCGAAGGAAAGATAGGTAAAAAAGTACCTGGCAGACTCGGTTGCAGCATTATATACGAGCATATCATTTGTGTAGATTCCACTTGCTCCAAGAAAATATCGACTATCAAACCAGTCAATATTTTCATTATCCAACTCAGAGGAATCCACAATGTTATCATTAGTAAGCGTACTTTGTTCTCGGGCTGGAAATATTACGTTTATTTTCAAAGTATGCTTTATATGAACGTTAATACATACAATTATAAGGGTTAATTATATTTGTAAGTATTACAAACGAATTTTAATATTATATATTTTAATAATATGTATTAACATTAACATACCTCGTTGTACTTTAGATAATTTATTAAGAATTGAATTCCCATAAATAGGGCTGACGTAACGAGGCAGCTTCCGCAAAAAAGCTAAAAAAGTTTAAAACTATTTTACAAATCCCTAAGTACAATTGAGTACTTGGGTTTTTAACAATAATTCTGGGCATTTAAGTAGTTAGTGATGATTAAGTTGAAACATAGTTGTCGCTGAGCTTATTGAATTGTAAATCATAAAAATTCAAGCCTTAAAATATTTAAAATTGCTCATGATTCGAACAAATATAATTTATTCCCTTACCACAAACTGGTAGCATTTTCTCAATTGGCGGCTAATTCTCATCATGATGCTGAAAGCAGAACGAAGTCGTTCCGTATCTAACGTAACTAAGTTGTCATAACCATGTTTCCAGACAACACTATCGATAAGAAACGTCTTTCTAATAAAGAATCTCTTCAACTTCTCATCGTTCTTTAATAACGCAATATTGAGATAACGCAGCCTTACACTTAGGAACGTGCATGATATAATTATAAAAGCTATATATAAAAGACTACCGTACAATACAGCTATCATTACAGACCCTACAATTGTTTGAGTTCTAAATGTCCGGTACGCAAGCGCTATAATAATGACCGTCAATACGACAATTGTCGGAATAAATATAGCAACAAAATTAACTAATCTATGAATTATATTCCTCATAAACAATGTTTCGTTCACTCCGATAAACTCGTCGATCTCTATGAACAATTTAAATAACTTTATATAAGAGTTTCTGTTGAAAAAGTTGACGTTCAGTAACATACATTCACCGTATGTTGTTAGTATTGTTACCATTATCAATTCACCGGTTGTAAAGAAGTCTGTTGTTAACGTTAAGTACAGGAAGAAGCAACAGCATAGGACTAATAATACACAGATGCAGGTAGTTCTAAGGAACGACACGTTTGTATCTTTCGCGAATCGATCATCTCTGATGTCGTATCTAAAAATTCCCGAGTATCGAATGATATGAAAAGGGTAGCAGTTGAAACGGTGTAAGTATTCCTCAAGCAAAGTTGATTCTGTTGCACGAGGACTTTTATCAGCCATGGTTACTGTGTCACTGATATTCTACGAATAAAAGTCAACCTATAATGTCTATTTCAAAATAAATTAGGAATCTCTTGGGTAATCTCTTCTGTATATTTTTTTATGGACTCTTTCGATTTCTGATTCCGCATAAAACATCTCTAAAATTCGTAAACTTTATTATTTGTATATATTATTGAATGTGGTTGTTGTGGTTGTGTTATATACATTAATAATCAATTGAGATTAAAAAATATTTCCCTCTATAAAAAAAAAAAATAACGGTTTAAAACGCGATATATTAGTTTAACTTATTTGTTTTTTAAATAGTTTACTTTAGTTAAATAATTTTAACTAATATATCGCGTTTTAAACCGTTAAAGTGTTTAATTTGAGTGTGTCTACTCGCGGAAACTATATACAGTATTTAATTCTGTTTCATCGATTTTTATCAATCTAAATAAGGTTGTAATAAGTATAATTTTATTATTAATTAATTGTGTCTCTGTGTACATTTCACATAATCCAGAATTTCTCGGCCATTCTTACAGATATTTTTAGACAGAACAGAGGGTTTCCTTTTTAAATACAGTACTTTACAAATACAATACAGTCAGTCCATCAGATTTTACATCCCAGATGCCAACGTACGACAACGTAATAGATCACTGTTCGCCATCAGTCCAGCGAGAACAAACTTAATGTATTATTCCCCAATTATGCGAGCACTTCACATTCTTAACAGTCTAAATTGTAAAATAGACATTTTTAATTGCACGGTGAGCGATGGCATAAGGGCGATAAAATATATTATGTAGTATGATATCGTTTATGATTTTAAAGATATATTAAAATTGTTACTCACTATTTTGCTAGGTTTTATATTCTGTAAAGATATGAGATTGTTTTTTAATAAATAAATAAGAAAAAGTATTTTTTTAGAAGGTATTCCAACAATGGTAGTCATACATTTATATACGGTATGTTTAATTAATTATTGCAGGGATTCCATCAAGAGACTCCTTGGTAATTATAGTTATTTATATCTCATGGGACTTTTGATAAGCTTTTTCGGCACGTAAAGTATTTGAAGATAACTATCGACGAAAGTAATGTCAGTTTAATATGTGCCTTAACCAAAAACCAATTTCAGATATTATATAAATGTTCATTCATTTTTAATTGTCGTTAAGTGATCCAAAAGATTCTAGCTTAATCTTTTAAACCGATGTCGTATGGAAATTATTTTCATTGAAAACCATATCATTAAAGTTAAGTACAAATGTAGTAATTTATTAAAAATACTCTTTAAAAAATATTGTTAGTTAGTTATGTTAGTACACAGATTATGTACATAAAAGAAGATATTTATGGCCATAAGATTTATAAACTGAAGACGAGATCGAACCTACGACTTACGATTATTTGTATTATTTTTATTAACTTTGGTATGTATAAATATATATTCCATATGGCCTTATTTATATATAAAAAACATTATCAGCTAAAGGAAAGTGTAGATATTATTTGAGATAGTTGACAGTTATAAATTTGTGTTTCAGCCATTAATAATTGCTCTAAATATCGACTTTTGTTTAGACAGCTGAGTGGAAAAATACATTCAAGGTACCTAAATCTACGTCAGTGTCTCTGTTTATGTCATATATACGTTGCACTATGACATACACTTAAAGAATACCAATATTGTCTTGACTCACTTGATCTGTTGTAGTAGTAGTACTTTAAAGTCTTGCACTGTCTTCAACAGTTTTTCCCATTTATTACCTTCTAGATTCCCGAAACATATTCCAAAAATGAGTACTTAAGTTACTTTATTTTTAATGGATGACTTTTTTGTACTATCCATAAAACATAATGCCGTCGGCCACATTAACTACACTTTATTTTGGAAATGCGTATCCAGCCTTTTAAGGAATACGGTCTCTACGCAGAACATAGCGCCTGACAAAATAAGAAGTCAAAATATACTTGCTACTAAATATTGTTACGTTTTCAGACGGAGCAATTATCATTACATACTTTTTTCAAGCTGTAACATAATCACTGTCAGAATTGGACCTTACATTAATATTTACTCTCTTTATTGATATATTTATGACAGAATTATATCATCAGGAGTTACTGAACACAACGTTTAATTTGCTTATAGTTTCATGAAATGCAGTAAGGTAATATAGTTTAAGATATATATATTATTAAATTTTATAGAAAGGATCATGGTTGGTTTTTATATATTCATTTATTCAAGACCTATCTCTCTAAATTTTATATCGAGCAAATTAGAAAGAAATTCCGTCTAAAATAATTATTTTTCTTAGACTTGCAAGTAACGGTTGCAACTAATTTAAGGTCTAAAAAGCCCTTTGAATCCCACTTTTCTAAGTCGGAAAGTATATTTCAAATAAAACTACATATAAAATGATGATATTATATTGCTTATCAATACAATGTAACAGATTGTTTCTTAAAAATAATGTGAAACTTAAAACTTTACATTGCCATCAAAATGCTAGTAAATGCAAACGTACGTCGTAAAATTAGGGCATTGCGCTATCACAAAGAAATGGAAATAATCCGATTTTGTCGATAAGCCAATATAATCTTTTAAATCAATTCAATACATCCTTACCGAATCATACAATATATAACATTTTTTATACAAATTAATATTCATTGTACAATTTTATTTTAAAATCTCATACGTCTAATAAGGTACAACTACTTTTAATTTTACTACTATCGTATTAATTTCGTCATATTTACATCTCAGTAATATCCACAAGGTTCGCAGTGAAAGCGCAATTTTCCGAAATTGAGCATCGTATCTTTCCGTCATAAATGCCATTATTCAAATACACTTTGTAAATTACCACTATTACGTATTAACAATCATCGCTTTAAATAACTTACAATAATTCTTACACACTCACAGCACATATACTGTTATCCAATTTGTCATAATTTATAAAAAAAATATATAAATACTTCTAGAAATGCATTTAAACTTGGTACGACGCGTGCGCCACGTTCGGCTGTCACGTTAAAAAATTATAAAATTTTGTATCGAAGTAAGTACCAACAAAAACAAACATAACATAACTAAGTACACGCTGTATTGTGACACGTATTGTGTTAATTAGAAACTAATATCACTAGAAAGGAAAGAGAGGAGATTCCTTATTTAAATAAAAAATGTTCGGAGCGTTTTGCCACTCGAATTTATTATTTATGGACCGGACAAAACCGTCATCCGGTCCATGCTCTATGCTTCATTTCAATCCAGCGACACATAATCTCGTATAGCACCATCCTGTCCGCGTTAACCTAACCCGCGCTGAAGTGAAATGAAACTTCATAAAGTTTGTTTATACTTAGCCTAATAATTAAATCAAGTCTTAATTTTTAATCTACCGTTAATTGTAACTTAAAAGTAACCCCAAACCATCACCAAACATTGCACATAATACCCGATACTTTGATTTTTTAATTGCAGTCAAGCCGTAATGGGCTGTACGAGTCTCCTTTGACTGTTAAAAAATTAAAGGTATTTTAATAAAGAAACGGCGTTTCCCGATTAAAATTTTACAGTTCCTCGAAAAATTCAGGAGATCTAGGTTGGAAGACAGTATTTTTAACATTAGATCCAATTTTTGAATTCAGCCTATACACATTTAAAAGATTGAAAAAGTCGATGATACAAGCGGGATGCGTACCTACGACCGACAGTGTACTTTGTGACTGTCTGTGTTTAACTGTGATTTCCGTGTATCTATGGTTCGTTTCTAGCCTGTATCATTGGTTTTTTTTTCAATCTTCTCAGAAAACTTTTCAATAAGGTCGAAATTTCACACTCAGCGTTTCACTGGGAAACAATTTAACATTATTATCAACGGACGGAATAAATTCGTTATTAATTAAAAATTAAACGACCCATTAGGTGGCATAACGGATTCTAGCTTATTAACATTCTTGTGTGAACGTTAATCATTTCCTATGAATGGAAACCGCACAATTAGTTGTGAACTGGCATTGGTAATTGTCCTAGAAGCTGATTTGCAAATGTTGCGTTTGTGAATTTGAAGTGTCGTTTGTCGTAGAATTTAAGGAGTGCTGGCGAATACGGGTGTTGTTTCTTGAGGTGCATGTAATGCTCTTCAGGCTCGGAAGTCGTGTGGCCGCACTCTTCGCATACATACATCTGTAATCAAATTGAATAAACGTTTATTATATTAGTATTTTAAGAAATAAAGGGTAGGTAGGGATCTAAGGGAAAATGCGAGACTCTCAATAGATAATCTAAATAGCATGTCGTTAGCATGCGTTTCTGAACACCATATCGTAGTTCGTAATTTGTAATAAGAGCCATCTAGCGAAATTGTTAGAACTACCTACTGGCTCAATTACTGCTTAACTGACCGTTGGGTATGCAGAAACCCAGTGACTGGTCAACAAAGTTTAAATGTAATCTTCATCACTTCTTTAGATAATCCGAGTTTAACCACAGCAACTCGGGATTAACGGCGCAACAATTTAGTACTGCGGATTATTATTATTATATTGGCTTATTATACGCGTTTGGTATCTTGAAATAATTAATTCGTTTCAAATACCCACCTTAGTCCTCCTTTCTTTGTAAGCGTATGTGTGCTGAACGCCGTGAACTTTCAGACAGTGGGATTCTAATGAGCATCTTTGGGTGAAAGATTTTTCGCACAAATTGCACTTGTAAGGTCGCACTCCGGTATGTGTCCTCGTGTGTCTCTTCAAGTCGAATGTGTCATTGAAACCTTTACCGCAGAATGTGCAAAGATATCGTTTCACATCCGAGTGACACTTCATATGTCTATTTAAAAGCCTCTGTAAAGTGAAACTCTTCGAACACACTCTGCACACAAATTTCGTTGGATCGTCTTCGCTCACTAATACTTGTTTATTCTTTTCTTCCTCCCGCTGTCGGGCGTTCGCTTCAGTGGCAAGAGGGTTCTTAACACCGTGTCCGCCATTAATAAACTCCAAAGGCAACTCCGCTGGAAGGCCCAACTGTAAAAAAACACCCTATTTAATACATACTCGAAAAGGACAGCTATATGGTTGTTCGTCAAGTTATAAAGCTGAGCATTATAAAAGACAGCTGTCCGATGAGAAGAAAATAAAAAAAAAACAAGCATGAAAAATTTGCAGTAGGTAAAAGCATAAGTTGATTCAGGCTCAGCGTTATATATTAACGGTGATATCTACTCGATTTTCAATGTCATTTAATATTTACAAGTCCCATTTTCAGAGAGCAGAGGTGACATTGAATATAAATAGAGCTTCGCCTTAAAATCAAATAATGCTTACCCTTTGTTGCAAAATTTGCATTTTGCTATCGGTGAGAGAGCCTTTCTTCAGACTTACAGCAGCAGCGGGACTTAACGATGAGTTCTCGATGTGATTGTTGCCGTCCAAAGAGCTGTTGCCGCCGGGCGATGGAAGAGAGACACCGGTTGGAGAATCCAAATCCAAAGAATGACTAGTGAAGGGGAAACCAGGAGATAGGATTTGTTGTCTTTGTTGAAGTTGAACGTGAATCTGTAGTTGCTGCATTTGCCCTTCGTTGTGGGGCAAGAGGGCGGGATTAAGTTGCATTAATAAATCGGGCCGTTCTTTAGGAAAACCGTAGGAGGATCCCTGTTCTTGATTTGCGAAAGCGATATAATTCGCTTTTTCATAATACTGTCTGCTTAGGTTAACTTGTTCAGCCAAAGACTCAATATCTACTCCATTATGAACTGAATCTGGAGTTATTGATGATGATTCTCGGATTTCTGAATCTGTTATTTGTTCCACGTGATTGTTTAATAGACTGACGAAGTCTTCAGTAGATTCGGAAAGGTTGCTTAGTATTCCATCATTAGGTGGAAACGTTAAAGTTGTGTAGAACTGATTGTTATCAATAACATCTTCACCCATGTCAACTACCATTGAATCATCAAAGTTGTTACTGTAATTACCCATTGAGCCGAGGTTTTCTAATTTATTTTCAATTCTATCATAATCGATTTCCTCGTCTTTTAATGCTATTCCGTAATGTGCATTTTGCATTAAAGAATATTGTTTGCTCTGTTCAGGGAAGTTTGTGTTCGCATTTTCTGTATTCTCACAGTCCATGTTAAATCCGTTTATCATATTAAATTCGTTTGTAAAGTTACTGTTAGCGTTGAAAGAGTTCTGGCCTCCTTTACTGTTAGGACCCAGTGTTTCGTAAAAAGGTGGAAGGCTTCCGGTAGGTGGGCTGTTCGGTCCATAATTAGATCTACCGTCACGACCATTTCCACCACTTCCAGAGCCACCACCTAACGCACCACCGCCACCTCCTGAAGAAGGTGCTGCACTACCACCGCCTGAACTAAAGTTTCCTGTACCACTTGTATTTTGTGATCCAGAATTTGAGCTATTCCCATTTGTCGAACGACCGTGACCCGCAGCGGCACTGATTATTCCCGGCAGCTTATTACCGGGACAGTTTCTTAGTACTAAAACTGGCCTAGCGATGATGCTATTCGCTATTTTAGAACTGCTAGTACGTCTCTGTTCTCTTATTTTCTTTTCAGTTTCCTCGTCTTCAGTCTCACCTCTCTTTTTTGCAATTGCATAATCGATTGGCTGGTCTTGTTCCGGTTCTGAGGAAGGTAATGTAACGGGGAGGCGTACGTCAGACAACTCCTTTTTATTATTTTGAAATTGCGATTGTGAAGGAGTTCTTTGTATCACTGATACCTTTTGACATGTAACATTGTTATCGGGAGATGGCGCATCATCTGGTGACGGCGAATTCCGGGATGGGAGGACCACCGGCTCATTTTTCAAAACATCCTTTTCCTCCTTTATTAACGGTTTATCTTCAACTTTTTTGCTATCAACTGCGACCGGTAAATATTGTTTTCTTTCTGCTTGGGTTAGGACATGACCCCTGTGACTGCCATAGGGAATTTCACCTCCAAGAATCGACGAAATGAATCTCCTCGGTTCCTTAGTACGCCGCTCGTGTGACGCTTTGTTTCCTGTGTGTTCTCCAAACACATCTCGATCTGAAAATGAGACACATTGATTAAATAAAATATTTTGAAAATCATATCTTTGAAAGGGGAATATTTAAATTATATATCTAGTCTGTTTATAACGTATTCGTATAGCGTCGGAGCCATAAGGCCTCGTTGACGTCACTGGTATGTGCCTCCATAACGGTATAACACTCGCCTCCACACATACACACCCACTATCGTGCGGTTTATGTGTGAGTGTCATTTTATTATAATTGGCGTACCAACATAATATCTTAAATCTCGGGTAGAATCTGGCAACTATTTACAATTTAGATAAATCAACAGAATAACGGGTAAAATTAAATTGTTTAACTTTTGTGTTATTAAGTAACCATCTTAACTAATTAATGAAGATAGCCGGTCATTTTGGCATTAGAGTGAATCTTGGTAGGCATAAAACATGCGTAGGTAGTCAGTGAAAGTCCCAAGGTTGCATTAAACGGGTTCCTTTGCCCTTTCTTAGCTTTTGTTAGGGATCCAAGGACGAGGCCGGCATTGTCGAGCCCTCTTTTTTATAAGGCTGTTCGTAATTGTATGCGGCTGCGCAGCCAGGCGTGACAACACAAACTTGATTTTGAACCACATCCATAACAATACTGTGATGTTCAATTAAATATTTTTGAAGTTTAAATGCAATATCACCATTAACTCTGCGGTGATGACTAAGAGATTTTTATGGGATATTTAGACGTGCTTATGTAGATTATTATACTATTATGCTACTGACCTAAATTGTAACCAACTTGAAATATAAAAATAATTATATTTTAATTTGGTTACAATTTTTTATAGAGCTAGACAAGCATATGGTTCTTTTGATGGAATACCCCAGCCAAGATAAGCTGTCGTCCTATTTTGGCTTTCGATAATCAGAATCAGATTGGCCATCTAAAACATAATATTTTGTTAATAATAACACGTATAAAAAAAAAAAAAAAAAAAAAAAAAAAAAAAAAAAAAAAAAAAAAAAAAAAAAAAAAAAAAAAAAAGAAAAAAAAACCCCAAAAACCCGGGGCCAAAAAAAAAAAAAAATTAAAAAAAAAATTTAAAAAAAATTTCTTTTTTTAAACCGTTAAAGTGTTTTTTTAATAACACGTTTTTTATATATTATTTATATTTATAATAATCTAATAATATTCGGGGCAGTCGTAGCCTTATTTCGATAGTTTAGTTACTGCCTTAGTCCTTACATCGCGTCTCACTAGACATAATGCTACAATTAGCATTGAAGTCATTGTTAACGAGGTGTATTTAAATAGTGCGGTTTTTATTCTAAAACGGTAAGTCAAGGTTTCGTAATCGCCAAGTCCATATCTATTCAGTTATACGTTTCCTGCCGAGAAACTGTATGAACAACCTTGAATGCGAACACTCATTATTTGGCTATTAAAGGCAGCCTTCAGTTGTCGGTTTTGGCAATAATTAGTTTTTCTCGAGCTGTATGAGCCATACTTGTTCACGTGAAGTAATTAGAATCCAGTTGTTAAACGGGTATATTATTTATTTATAACTGGTTCTGGCGGACAATGAGTGAAGAGATACAGAAAGAACACTACATAAATAAAATCTATTTTATTATTCCGTTATTTTATAGGACAACGCTTTACTTACTTAAATATATAACTTCCTACTGGAATAAAAAGGAACATCAATGGTAAATTTGTCTGTTATATGTTATGTATAATAGGTACAGACAGATAAACAAATCAAGTTTGCTATACGTTAAATACATTTATCATTAGTAAGAATGCTGTAAAACTTAATTCATATTTATTTTAATGATAAGTTTCATTACAACGGAACTTATTATTAAATAGTGGCTTTAAATTTCAAATATATATTGACAGATAAGTTGATATAAAATAGAATTATGTATTATATTGCTTGCTATTATCGCTCCGCTTATTCAATTATAACATAACATATATATAGTTTAGTATATAAGTTTATATTTTTGTTCATTTTTTGTGCATTAAAGTGTAAATAAATAAAAATAAATAGATAATAGTTGTTTTATACTATGTAGTTACACGAATTCCACGGCTGGGCTCATGTCTCCTTTCCAACCTACCAAACAGTTTAGGGGCACATTGGCTGGCTTTAAATCAAGTAGTGAGGATAACCGGGAATACTAAAAGTTATACTTATAATAATGACATATACCGAAATAATATTTAGTACGATCCGGAACTTAGTTTACAAGTATAATATTTCAAACGTATGGCAGTTAATGTGAATTAAAAAGACAGACCAGAAGGTGAGCTAGTATGTCCTTGTTCGTCAGGGGTTATCGGACGCGGTTAGCATTTATCGCTTTTAAAACGTAGCCACGAGAAACCGCTGCAGGACGTACATATAAAAATTCCGTTGAGGCGTTTTTCACACGTATGTACCGACAGCACACGGTACATCGGGATAGTGCCCGCTAAGGATCGGTTAAAGGTCGTTCGGAAGGACATTTTTTGTTCTGAATTATTTATGGGCCGGCGCAGATTGTAACAGTGTCTCATTTGTTAACTTTTGCAATCCCGTTTAAAAATTTTGTAGACAGATTCTTTTAGCTGTAGTCACAGTCAATATAGCAATACCCAGTTACTGTAGGTGGGATTTTAAAAAACGTGTCAGTAATTTAGTAAAATTTATTTTAAGCTCAATAAGTCGTAAATAAATTAACGATACATTTAGAGTTTTAAACTTTTAAACGATTTTTTTACCTATATTAATTTTATAGCTAAAAGATTTTTACAAGGATTAAAATTTTGTCTTTAGATATATTAACTTTGAAAGGTTACGAAATATTAAAAGCATTCTTATTTGTTAATTAATAATCCGAGATAAATAGAAAGCCATCCATAAAATAAAGTTATTTGGATTATTTTATAATACCTACCGATTTTAGTTAAATTATTATTTTTTTAATAGTTAATCGATATCGAGAACAATGCTTAAAACTTATAAACTAAGTAACTGTGCCTAGATGAAGACATGGTTTTTTAACATAAGAGTGTTATTTGAATTTGTTTAAAAACATAATATAACATGCTACATAGATATATAATATTTCTTGCTTCTAATAAAATACCACAAAAAACGCGTCGATTTAGAATTTCGTGCCTCTTAAACGAACGGCCACAAAAACTGTTCAACAGTTTATTACTTTGATCACAACGTGAATCACAACCAGATTTCTCGAGGGTTAATGACCTAAATATGTTTAGCAAAGTGTTCAAGGCTAGAAGTAACTAATTTGGTTTGTTAAAAAAACTTGTATCTAAGAACACCGTCCAATGATATTTTGTTCTGGTCTCCAGCGATTATGCGAATAACACGTTTTTCAACAATTTATAAATAACTTGTTTACTGGTATATATACCAAAATGTAACTGTTATATATAAATATAACAGTTACATTTTTGGAGAAAAGCATATGTAGTGTAATTACTTCGCGCTTTGAAAACATTTAATATTCTTATTCCTATAGGTATATGAAGTCTTCGACGACTCGTCAAACAAGTTTATACATAATTTGGGATAATCTTAACTTAAAATTTAAGTAACTGAATCTAAACTTTAATAAGTTTTTTCTCTATTCTAATTAATAGAACTGGTACAACATTAGTAGAAGTCAAATTTAACACGAACAAAGTAGCGCGCACTTTTAAAACTTTTATTAATTGTCAAATGTTATTAATAATACTCTAAAATTTCCTTAAATAAATTATAACGTTGGTTATGAAACAAGGTTCCGCAGATTTGAAAATATGAGGTTCTATCCATTGTATTCGGTATTGTGTTCTGATTTAGCGAATGCTCCGTAGGCGTCATTCCGCAAATTGCTCCAGAATACCTACACAAAGTGTTTATCTTAATATGGCACGACACAACAATAGACGAGATGACCTTATGCTCGAGGTGTGCGTGTGAAGCAGTCTGTTTATTTTTGTAACCTTTATACCGTATTAAGTAGCGTCAAAATCCTTCTACACTACTGGTTACAATATAGATGAATGTGACTTGAAATTGATTCTTTTTTTAAGGTATTTAAAATGGAATGTATAGAGAACGACAAGATAAAATATTTAGTCTCCAGGTGGTCCTTAATGTATTTCGATTTAACGCGTATATCTCTATACGTCAAGTTCGTCAATCAGTCTTACACACTTATAATATGTTATTAACGATTGTAGGTATTGTTTTTAAATACAAAACTTTAACGGTTTACAACGCGATATATATTAGTTGACCTTTAAAGTGTTTTATTTAAATGTGTACTACTCGCGTAAACTATAGACAGTTATTTATTACTTTTATTGTTTTTTATAACTCTCATATTTTAATTAAGATCGACGGTACTCTACTAAGTTCACTGAAGTCTTATTTTATTTGCTATAGAAAATAAAAAAATTTATTTTTTTTTAAAAATTTTTTAAACCCCCCCCAAAAAAAAAATTTAAATAACTAAATTTTTCTTATGATAATTCTAACAAGTTATGTTATAAATCTTGTTAAAATGTTGTTTTGATTGAATACATATACTGATCAGCGTTATTAATTTCCAGTTACAATAATTCGTAACAATAGCTTTAAGAGCTTCAATGATGTAGGAAGTTTAAATATATTACATAATTCCCTTTCACAATACGAATTGGCACTCGGATTAAAAACGAGTAATTAATTTATTAATGATATTTTTAACGTTCATCGTTCAATGTTATCCTTATTTGTATTAAACATCTGGATATTACATACCATAAACTGAAGTGACTGAAAAAAACGTAGAATATAAACAAGCAGATGCTATTTAAAATTGGCATGAGCGATAATTATAAACGATGCCCGCATCTCGTTCATATATAAAACCGGTGTAAATGGAGAATATTTTTATGGGACATGTGTCCAACTATTCTCAGAACACTTAACATCTTGAGCTTAGGCAGAGGTCGGGCAAAAAATTTGTAAAAACTAAACATCCACAGTAGGTATGCCCTAACGGGCGATGTCCAATAGACAAGGATACATTTTAAAGCTGTATTTGCATATTTGTATGGTCGTTACCTTACCCTGTATTATATCATGATTTAAATATCGAACAAATTCGTGGTTTAAGACGAAATGTATGACCTAAAGTATTGTGTTGAGTTCAAGAAATATTATCAGAAATTCGGAATTCGAAAAACTCAACGCAGTTTAAATTGAGAAGGGTACAGAAGCGTGATTATAACTTTGCTCAAAATGAAACAAACACAGAATATATCTGCCCGGTGTGAGTTAAATTATATGAGAGATTAAGATTTGTTTTATTAAATTATTTAGGTCTTTTACTCAAGTGAACCATTAACGACATTTTCTGGTTCCTAGATAAGTAGTGGGTCCAGACAAATCTTTTATCATTTTCGACTTAGGTGTGTCTGCATAATTCTTATGTATTTTTTAAATAAAACACTAACGGTTTAAAATCCAATACATATTAATTACACTTATTTGAAAAATATTTAAACTACTGTCTCCCGTGGCTGCTACAAAGCATCCGAAACGTCAGTTCAATATTCTTCAAATGAGTTTAACTAAAATATATCGTGTTTTAAACCTTCGAAGTATTTTGTGTACTACTCGCATAAACTACAAACAGTAAATAAAACACTTTAACGGTTTAAAACGCGATATATTAGTTAAACTTATTAGAAAATTATTTTTAACTTCGGCCCGACGTTTCGGATGCTTTGCAGCAGCCGTGGTCACGGGGAGACTAAAGATGGAGGATGTCTCTGACGTCAATGTAAAAATTGCTACGATTTGGCTGGTCAAAGCGAATGTAATGATTTGACCAGCCAAAAATCCTCGCAAAGGAGAGTCGATTTTTTCCAAGATTGGTGGTTGGTTGGTGATACGCGAAGCAATTGAAATCAAAAAATTATCAAACACCTGGGATCCCATATTAAACTCTGGATCCCAATAAACAGCGTACCGGCAAACGCGAAGACACCGTTAGTCAATTCTGTAAGGAACCGCCAGTTTAGCCAAATACTAACTTCGACGGAACAGATGGCGCTAGCGTAGCAATTTTTACTTTGACGTCAGAGACATCCTCCATCTTTAGTGTCCCGGTGACCACGGCTGCTGCAAAGCATCCGAAACGTCGGGCCGAAGTTAAAAATCATTTTCAAATAAGTTAAACTAATATATTTTTTAAAGTGTTTTATTTAAATGTGTACTACTCGCGTAAACTATAGACAGTATCTACAAACAGTATCTTATGTAAATTACAAAAAAATTGCCCATATAATCGAAAACATTTTTAAACAAAAAAAATAATCTCGACGATTATCCATCAATTGTTCGGTTAAATTCATTCCGAGAAGCGTTGCTCCATTATGAATGTAATCAGAGTATTTTTATCGCCAAACTTGTGAAGGCAAATCCTTAAAAAGGCGACTTCAATACAATAGTGAATACAATGGACGCGCTGGCCACATGCTGGAATCGCTTTTCTTTTTGGTAATCCTAAATGGTAATGGTTTTTTACTTTTCTTAAACTAACGCTTATAGTTTGTTACTGTTAAGTCTAATGACTTTCCTATTATGGCTTCTGACACGCATAAAATATAGAAAAATAACAAAATCAAGATTATGCTTATAAACATACAGTAAGATTATAATGTGCTAGCAGTGTCCGCGAATTCGTCAGCGTGGAATAATTATCATATTATGCGTTTATTTTTGCAAACAACCCCCTCAGCTTTATAAATAATGCTGTTATCACGACGACGACCAGGTCGGTCGTTCTTGCGTGTTAATCTTAAGAGATAGACTTTCCTTGACGCAAACATTATTTTATTATTAAAACATTTTTTTTCTTGAACGCTTTCAGCAGCGCATGTAACGGAAGCCCTAAGTCAAAGAATTGAATAATTTTTTAGACTTAGACGATAAATGGTATATCCAACACAATTTTTTAAAATTTAAACCTTTCATTCATGTGATTAGTGGGTTAAAACACTCCGCTTTATATATTAGTATAGATAAACTTACTACCCTTTCGAAGGGCTTACTTAACAATAAGAAATTTTGTAATTAAAAATAAACTATATATTACATAATTTAATGAAATGTTTGTGGTTAAGTTTTTAATCATTCCATCTTAGATAATAAGTTTTTAAAGATGCTGTAATGTACATGATAACCCAATGTAATTAGCAAAATTGAAAGTGAATGGCTTATTAATGACCTTGGAAATGTAACATCATTATAAATAATATTAGAAATCGTAAAATCGTTATTATATGAATCAACTATAAATATTTGCATACAACACTAATTATAACAGATAGCAACTATTTACGCGCGTTGATGTCTTTTGTACGGGGTTTTAATTCCCTAAGGGACGAACTATTTTTCTTTTTTTACCCATCAATACAAAACAATATAAAAAACTTTCAAAAACGTCTGAGAGAACTGTTTAATATTTCGTTCTGTGGGCGAAGGGCTGAAGGGTGTTTCAACCCTAACCTGTTCCCTCTAACCATAACCTTTTATATTCTGACATTTAAACTCCCGCGCCCTTAAGTACAGGTGTAGTATCACCTGTGTTTCTAGTTCTGCAAAATGTTCATTTACTTATAATTTCGCCTGCGAAGTCGATAAGCCTTCATACGGGTACTTTCAGTAACGGTACAATCGATTTGTGAAATACTTCACATGCTTAATGTTAGGACTTTTATTAAAAGACAAAGATAATTATCATTCCTTGCTTGAATGATTTTTTTTCGGAAGAACTTTGCTGTAATTCATGAAGCAGCGTATCAAATTATGTTGCTATGCTGAACGCCGAACAGGCTGTATCTGTTTCACTCGTGGATTTTGTAGGCAAGTAGTTGGGAAGACTTTTACACTCTAGGATGAAAGTTGTAGCTTTATTTTATTGGCATTAGAACCTAACACTGCTCGCGCCTAGGTAATTGCGTTTAATCATTTCAACGCTGAGGTAGTAGTAAAGTGGAAATTATCCTGTCTCTATATTTCCTTTTTGGTGACATACATTAGTAGATATACATCCGAAGATTAACTTACAAATATTGTTTACGTCATTTTATAAACCGTTAATGAGGCGCGCCATTGTACTGCAATTTTTGACACCTCAGCCAGGACTATAACTCATCATACATATGTTAACCGTTATATAAACTTGCCCTTGTCTATGACGTATAAGTGCTTCTAAAATTGTATTACAGTTTCCTTTTTGTCTTAGTGAGAAAATGATAGGGATTGTAACCAAAATACAGAAGGACTCGAACAATTGAGCTATCCTGTGTAAGCCATCAAGATTCAATATTAAAGTATTTAATATACTTTATTCAACTCTCATGTGAATCAAAATGCAAAAATTATACCTTACTACTTAAAAAGTCTCACTTAGTTTGTTACATGAAATAATAAACTCAAGAATGTGTCTGTTAACACTTTGTCTCCACTAGCCAGCGAAGACAGTTTGCTCATATTATTCAATTTATAATAACGAATTTACAGTAGTATAAATCCGTATTATAAATAACTCTTAGTAATGTTATTGAAATTCCCTATCTGTAATTTTTACTGCATTAGAACCGTAAAAATTATTATCAATGGATTAAATTTGGTATTGTAAAATAGAACATGTTTTGAGTAGCGGAAGCTCTTTTGTACTAAAATCATTGACACCTCGCTAACGCCTTCCGGTCATTCCTGTCTCGTACCGTGACGTCTATAGCTCGGTGACCATCTATAGTCCGTTGATTGATTCTTTAATCAATGAATTCTGTTTTGGAAACCACTCAAAAGATAATGGAAAATCACCATTAGTGTTAGAACCTGCTATACTAACTTCTATACAAAGCGTTTGTGTAATTAGCATAGTTATTGCCTTTTCAGGAAATCATCTACGTATTTCAAAGACACTAATTCTATCTAAGTTTTACCAACTAGTATTATATTATATATCTTACTGTCCAGACAAAATTTTAGCATACAAGTGTGAATAAACAATATGTGGAAAGACGCAAAAACGTGCCAGTTATAATCTCTAACTATGAATCATTGTAACTACCGACACAGTTAAAGTCAAGAGTTTACTTGTTTCTGTACCTAGAATTACTCTTGGTACGTTTAATAACGGTGGATTCCGCAAATTTAAATAAAGAACATTAAACTGAAATATTCGCTATCCAAACACACATAAAAACTATACTCCCGAGCACATATGTTAGCAGGTAGATTTGTGGACCGTAGACAAAACAGGATTTTGAAATCGGTATCCTTTCGGACTCGGGTACCCGTTATGGAGGCAGTCAACTAGGAGATATAAAACCCAATACTAAAAGTTCTGTTATAGCAATTCCAACTCTCAGTAATGAGTATGGAACTGATAATACCACGTGACGTGAACGAGTGACATTGAATTTGCTGCACGTTTATTATACAAGACTGATGAGCACGCCATAAAAGGCGTCGTTATTCATTTAATTTAACAGGACGACAGCGAGGCGTATACAAAAAGATGTCTGAAGCGATGAATGGACGCATTATGTATGAATGTTGAACTCACCGATGCATTCCTTGTCCCTTTTGGAGAGAAGTGGAATAGGTCCATCGTCGAGGGGAGAGCCGGGGCACAAGGAGTCCGCTTTGCTCGCGAGCAACTCCTGGCCTTCTTGCAACCCGAGCTGCTGCTCGTGCAGCCGCTTTTTAATGAGAAAGATTTTCGGCATTGTCAATAATTATCACTGCACTATTATCGTCTATACAAAGTTTAGATCACTCCGTCCAAAAATGCATATACACAAGTTTGCATCGTAACACTGCACGGTTGGTTTCCTCGCGTTGTTTGTTTTGTGCGTGCTAGCGGCACGAGCAGTACCGTTGGCCGCTGCGAAAGGACTGAGAGTAGGTGTGCGGTGCGTTCGACACCGTTGCCTGAACAGGTCCGCCCGCGCCCGCGCAGGCGCCGCCCGCAGTCCTCTGTTGCCTACGAGTTGCGCTTGCGACTATCCACAGTCGCCACTACATCCTATATTCCAGTAAAAGTGCTCGAATTTCTCACTGTTATGCAAATAACAGTTTTTTTGGTATCTTGTATTTTTTTATCAATATTATTTTTTCTTTTGTTTATGGTGTTATTTTACAATGTGAAACGGAATATTGAATCATTTTAAAGAATCCATTCATTTTTAATATCATTATTTTTTGCTTGATAAGAATATTTTAAGGTAATCCGCTGACTACAGTTCTTCCGTGAATCCACCCTGTGACGTGTCTATTTTGTTTTGTCGTTGTTATTCCTCTCAATAAATGACAATTATTTAAGATTTTTATTTGGTTCATAACTCAAAAGACACGTAGAAAGTAAAAAATCAGAGAGCTTTGGTATATTTCATTAATTTAACAAACTGCTAAACGGGGTCAACTGAATCACATAGGAGTGAATGAATCATGAATTTTCCCGCAACCAAATTAAATATTTTATTAATATGATCTTTCTCAAAAAAATATATCTTATTCATATAAATTAAAAACGTATTTGCTAGTATAACGTAAATATTAAGGCTACAGTTGCACATTCATCGTTTATAATGGGTAATCAAACAGTAATTTTCTCTCGTACAGAAATATTTGACGGCGCTAGACAGCAATGAGATTAGAAGATAAAAGAATCCCAAAGACTGGCAGATAATAATCAGTGAAGGGTATTCTGAGTAGGGGGATTTACAAAAAGGTCTTACAAAAATAGCCTCTATAAATTTTACAACCTCCATTGTTGATGCAGATCTGAAACAAAAATTTACCTAATTCTTTTGTTCTGTCTTTTCTTAAGCAAAGCCGGCACTATTTGACGCTGCCTGGTTTCTAACATATGTTTCAAGTAGATGATCAAAGGAAATGTACAGATTGTGTCTTTCAGAAGAACTAATAGACATTGACATTACGTAGAAGAAAAGTCCTCTCTTAATCAAGGTTATGACTTATATAAAACTTAGCACCAATATTTTAGTTATAAAATATGTATACATAGACAGATTTCCCTGACTGACTTTCAGGGTTCGACATCTTTTTATATCTAAGTTCATCTTCCTATATCATTGTGTTGAGGGTTCGTACGGCTAAGGTTTCACTCCCATTTAGTTTTCTTGCCGTCTGATCTCGGAACTTTATTCCCAAAAGGCTTTTCCGTATTTTGCTTTAAATTTGCCGCCTTCGACGTCTACATTACAACATCCTCTCTATTATCGTTTGGTGTAAAAGTTTCCTGCTCAAGTGAAATCTTTGAGTAACTACACAACAACCTACTTGCAAATATCAACAAGCTTGCTTTCTTGTCTAAATAATTCCAAGAAATTTACGGATTGATGATAATGCTGAGTTGCTAAGGATAAGAAGAGATTACGCAGCCCAATATCCTTTTTTGCTATTTAGTACAGTACAGTTTAGTTTGGATTCAAGGTAGTCCAGCGAAAACGGTTCTCGTTTTTTTCGTTTTCCATTGTTGTGTTTTGTAAGGTGCTTTTTGCAAAGCGGTGATCTCATGGCTAAGCTCTTTTTTAAATACGCACATGTAATTTATAAATTAATACGTTTTACTTATAGCGTATTTATTTATTTCTAGTAAAATATTTTGTTAACAAAAGTAAGATTATATAAAACACATTGTTTAATTATCTATTCTCTTAATAATATTTATTAAGATAATTGTAAAATTTAGTAACACCAGGTATTTCTAGATAACTGTAGACAATTAATAGTAATTCTTGAATAATTAGAGCTGAAAAAGTCTTATTTCATAATTCATTATCTGTAACGAATTAGTTGAAAAATGAAAAGGCCAACATGAATATGACTTTAATTATTAATATTAGATTGTAAACATAATTCCATTTTTAAAATGTTATTTTACATATGTTTTGACGGTTTCTCTTCATTTTGTTGACCTAAAATCCTTTGGCTGAAAAAGAAGCGCTACACCACAGCTTAGGGCCTAAAAAACACCCTAAAAAAGATTGAGCTGCAGTTCTCGTAATAAGTATAGATTAGTAATAAGTAGTAGAAGAAATATATAGGTATAGGTTTCTTTAAAACAGTGTTATGTATGTATTTCAACGTTAAAAAAAACTCAATTTGAGTTTTTATTGTATGCAATAATGTTGTATCTTCAAAATTTAAATGCCTTATAAATTTTTAATTTACTTATTGTTTCTTTCGGTATGATGATGTCACTCACAGCGAAAAATATTTGTTATATTAGCCTGAGAACAAAATAAAGAGAATTAAGTAAAAGATTACATCAATTTCCGATTCTTCATACATCTTGCCGGCGTTATCGCGTTATGTTGCGCAACTATTGCCTGCGCCCGGTTCCGCATCGTTGATTCAAGTCAAGTTCTTGGTCTAACCTCTTTCAAGTTTAATGATGGACTTGTCGAGATAACTCTATGTAATAACAACTTATGTACACGTGTGTAGAGTTTTATATTTAGTGTTCTTAATTATTAAAGCTTGCGTTATTCTGAGGGCTTCCGTTCCGACTCCCTTAGATACGATGTGTATAGCGTTGCTTTAAGTGAGAGAATTCCGGGGTTCGAAGCTCTGAAAAAAAATACAAATCGATTAGGTTAAAGAGATAAGATAGGACAAAGGGGTATGACAATTTTACTATTTTATTTTTAGTTACACAATTTTATTTAAACATTTATGATTTATTGTAGTTCGTATTTATATAAATATAACTTTATTTTATTTCCCGAATTTCGTACCTTCGGAAAATGTCGCAAACCCATAAGACATATATTCTCTAAATATACTTGCAGGCTCTGATTTTGAGTTTTCAATTTACTTTATTGAGAGTTATAAATGATAAAAAGCATATATCATAAATCAAAGTTAAGCAATCTTTAACATTTTATATTTCAACAGCCTAAGCGCATACATTACGTGATTAGATGTCAGAAAATTCTCATGTGATCATATCCATTATGTATTATATACCTATACCGGTTGTCAAAAGGCTATATTGCAGAGGCGAGAGGGTATGAGGTACGGGGGAACAGACCGGGTACAGCGACCGCAATACGGCTCGTGAAAAATAAAAAGTTTTATATCGTCAAAAGATTCAAGCAATTTTGAATCTATTGTGGTTAATACAGAGTTGGTATTAGTATAACTTTAGTGCTGAGTTGTGCGGTCTTTGATTTGTCAGATTAGTTGGCGTTGCCGGTCCGCAGCACCATTGCCCATTGCCAAGATCACGGACCGCGAGGCGAATGTCAGCCACGAACCAAGCTTTGTACTGGAGCGAATTTGATCGGAGATTTATCATTTATCACGACTTTATATACTTGCTAGAAACAATGATGTATTATTTTATGAATCGGTATTTTTAATGCACTACAATGTAATTAAATAAAACACTTTAACGGCTTAAAGGCAATGTACCAATATTAGTTAAACTTAATCCGGCATCCGAAACGTCGGGCGGTAGTTAAAATAAGTTTAACTAATATATATCGCGTTTTAAACCGTTAAAGTGTTTTATTTAAATGTGTACTACTAGGGTAAACTACAGACATTACGTAGTTAGACTTCAATTTGAGTAAAAACGTAAAAACAAACCATAATAATCAATATTGCCTGTAAGAAAATCAAACACACTTTCAAATTATAGGAAGAGGTATGAATAAATAAAAAAGTCTTAGGCATGTCAAGTCCACATAATTTAATATCAAAAAATACAATTTATTGAAAAGGTATACAAACAACAATTTTTTACGCTGGTACTAAGTCTAAACTATTTATTTGGGTCTGGTGTTTTTTTATAAAAAAAAATAAAATCCGAAATATACTTAACTATATTTATTAATCATTAAGACAAGTAAAGATAAAAAGGAATACGACTGTGCTTAGACAAGAAGTAACTTAAACTATTGCTGAAACTGAAAAGTTTGCCAGACTTTAAGAATGCTATATTAAAGTGACTAGTAATCGTTAGAATTCAAAGTAAGATAACTAAGGTCTGAATATAACTACTTTGCGTTTGCCTACCAAAAGAACGAACGCAAGAACGAACCTTCAACTCGAAGATCGCTACCCAATTTCAAAAATCGAATGACCGAATCATTTATTTACCAATCACGTCCTCGTACAGATCCCTATTCGACCCGCTATTATGCAATCAACTCACACAATCACATTCGTGTCCATCCATCCCTGTAACTTCCCCAAGACCACTAACGAGTTCTTTCTCGTATGGCTGTATAATAGCCCTTGCCCTATCTTTATATGGGCCGAGCCGTAGTCTCCGATCCTCATTCAATTCACGTAAGGTAGCGGCTCGGAGGACCGGGTTTTTGTAATAGTGCAACAGGTAGAAAGGATTGCGAGTGCTGCGAGCGAGACGGCGCGATATCTTTTTATGCGTCGTCTCTCTCTGGCATTAGCAGCCGCGGTGGAAGTTCGCGGCCATGGCGAGGCGAAGGAATGCCGTACGATGAGCTCGCTCCTATAAGTACCGATATGTATATCGTTTGGTTTAGCGTTTAACCAACACACACTGCCCTAATGCGTATGGGTCATGTAGCGGGATTTACTGAGTTTAGACAGTGAAATTATATTGAAAGGGAATCTGATTATTTTTGTGTCTTCCTAAACCTTTACTTGTTTACTATTGACACTGTATTCACATTATACATTTTGTGCTCTCGTTTGTTAATTAAAGAAAAGC